TAGAACTATTGTCAGTTCCCTCCACGGATAATAAGAAAGGTCCGTTAATTCGTTTACTAAACAGAAGTAAAACTGTATTCCGTCTTTGATGTAATGACATTCACAAAAGTAGGGCACTTATAAGGTACCAATCAAGTTGCGCTGTGATGAAGATTGAGTGTACGTGACATAGTACTACAACTGAGCTTTTGAGCTTCCCACTGAAGTATTTCGGAACCAATTGGACTTATGGTCCTTCAAGAAAAGAGCGTACCAACTTCTTAAAAGGCCGACAACGGCGGTCCATGGGCGGCTTTATTAAATATTATTTTTATTGTGTTCTAGCTGACCCGGCAAACGTTGTTTTGCCATGTAGGTATATTTATTCATGCTAATAAAGCATTTACATTATTCACAAACATACACATAATATACATAAAAAAGCAGGTCAAAACGGGCGGCCTTATCGCTAACAAGCGATTTCTTCCAGGCAACCCTAATGTGGAACAATGAAAAATAAACACCTACAGAGGAAGTACAAGAAATGCAAAAATTATTAACGAAAAAAAAATATTATTTCTAGGAAACATTTATTTAGTTTAATAAAAATATTTCCATTTCGGAGGAGTTTAATTGCAAACACCGTGACACAAGAATTTTGTATATTAGATAACAAAGTTTATTAAGTATACATCGAATCACTACCACAGGACACGGCCAATACATAAGACTACAATTATATATAGGGACGTGAGGGTCTAATTTCTTTTGAAGGTCAGACGGGGCCCTGATGATACACCGGCTGTACGCTGTGCAGGTTACCAACTATCATGTTAAGTCTCCAGCCTTAACAAATAGGCGAATAGTTCATAAACAATTCACTTTCAAATTCCAATAAAATTATCCCTTTGCAGTACTTTCTCGAAGTACCAAGAATTTAGATTTAAATGGAAAATTGCGAGTCATGGTCTATCGAAGAATTAAATTATATAGTTTCATAGTCCATTGCTCTGTGATGCCATAACCAAAGCTATCTAAGCTCGTTCGTTGCTATTTTCACTCAAATTATAAGACTAATTATCTAGTTGTGAGTTGTAATGAGTTTCTCAAATTTTCAAAACATACATTAACGTTTAAATAACATTGTGCAAATGATCTGATACTGTAAAGTTCAGAATACTATATCTAAGAATTTAATTTTTTTTTGACATCATATCATATCATATGTTTTCAGGAGAACCAACAACAAAATTAGATTTTAAAACGGCTTTACTATAGATTATTATACGAAGATATTATTAAACAAAATTGTATTACCATTTACCTTAAATAGGGTCGATCCCTTGTTTGCGATTTATATATTGCTATTAGGTATTTAAATAAATAAATCAGTGTCGCTACAACCTTTTTTTAGGTCTCAGATTTCTGTATCTGTTTCATGATCATTACTACTCACTAGCCAATAAGGTGATCAGCCTCCTGTGCCTGACAGACGCCGTCGATTTTTTTTTGTCTTCGGTTAGCTGGTCTCCTCACGATGCTTTCCTTCACATATTATTATCCTGATGCCCAGGTAATATACCTGCAGGCTCTTAATGCAACGCTGTTTTCAAGCACATCTTAAAGGATTTTTCTGATATGAAAAGTGTTTGGCTATTACAATTTATATTAATTTGTCAATCCGCCCTTAAGGCCGATTTACATTATCTTAGTGTTTAGGAGAGTGCTTTAGGATAGTACTTTAGTTGAAACATGTAAACGCTACTTGCTTTAGTAAACGCTACGCTAAAGAACTTGCCTTTCAAGTTGTACTAAAGCACTCTCCTAAACACTAAGATAATGTAAATCGGCCTTTAAGGCCCTATCCCAGCACGAATTGCTGTGTCAGTGTCTCGGGCGTGCCGGCCCGAACTAACAATTAGTTATGTAAAACCATTGTGTAAAACGTTAAATTAATGTCATTTTATCAATTTTTTTTTTTGAAATAGATTACTTGGCTTGCGATTAAATATATCGTGTAAATTTCAAAATCATGTTATGTCATAAAATGAATTCAAAGTGTCAAAAATTTGCTATATTTGGATTTTTTCTATTAAGCGAATTTATTTAAATCGTGTATCGATCTTTAAAAATGGATACATAAACTACTCAATTCCGCCATATATTTTTTCCATTCGCCCTACTAGAAACAATGACGAAAATGGAAAGAAACAATGTATTTTTTTCGAGTTTGGCGACCAGATCGGTACCTACTTAAAAGTCATGTCGCGGTCAGCTTCCCGCGTTACAGCTAGTGTTGTGCTATAAACTAGCTGTAAGATTACCAATAAATAAAATAGGACATCATTAAAACGTAATTCTTATTTGTTAAATGTTGCACACAAGTATGATTTCTCGGTCACGAACTCGTCAAATCAATTGGTTTAGTTAACAGATTGTATAATCGCAAATCGATTCTTTCCATTCGGGTTAAATAGAAAACAACGTTTTGTCACAGATTATAAACCATTATTGATTGCAATCATGTTTTTTTATATTATCTAAGCAACACTTCTACGTGATAGTGGAATTAATGAAATATACGGAGAGCGAACTTTAAATTATCAATTTGATAAGGTCTTTCTCTTGGGCTAGTACGATTTAAAAGTTATTTTGTTACTAAACAATTAAATAACATTTTTTAAAGCAGACTTTTCATCTAAGAGTACAAACAAAAATAACAACATTTTGCTCATTGCACGGTCTTGTTAGTATTTTACAGCATTTTATCAACGCCAGCGCATCCCGTAGATGTTTCCATTTAGCGGGAGGTAAACGGGCAGGAGGCTCACCTGATTTTAGCTACCGCCGCCCATGGACACTCACATTGCATGAAGTTGCCGGCCTTTTAAGAATTAAGGTAAGATATTGAGAGCAGTCGGAGCCAATACTTGCGCGAAGTATGACTGACTGTGAAAATCAAATACATTTTTGAGATAAAATTTTTGAGAAACTCAGACTAGTATCTCGATACTGAGGGCTAGGTTTGGTAGAAATAAGAATCACTATTTGTATCACGTAAATTACATAATACCTACCAGGACTAAAATAGTCCTGATCCTTTATTTTACCCTTTACGATTCTCTGTAACTATGTCGCAGCCAACTACCTTAATTAGCCGTTCAATTAACAGCCTAACCTTTTAAATAAACGTCGCTGTTTAACAAGCAGCCTGAAAGATGTTCAGCCAGTTGATTAAACAGCTAGGCAAATGACTTGGATCGATTACGTTTCATTACTTGCCTAGCCTGTTGACTGTTAATTTAAATTTAATTCCACTTTCTGCTACTCTCAAACTCGAAACGAAACTCTTCAAACTATCAATATGGCGTCGGCAAACCAAAACTTTGATGGTGTTTTCCAAAGTATCATGAAAAACAACGAGTACAATGGAAGAGTGTAGTGACAATAATAATGTGAATTTTACTCAAGCATTTTAATTTTAAAAGTAATATTTTTTATGTCATATGTTTCATCTTTTTTATTTCTGCCAAGTAATGACTCTATCGTAGAAATGGCCTAAGCATTAGCCAACCAGTTTATTGAATGTTGTAACTAACTCTTCGGCTGAATATCTTTCAGGCCGTTAGTTGAACGGCGCTGTTTAGTTAAAAGGCTAGGCTGTTAATTGAACGGCTAATTAAGCTAATTGGCTGCGACAACTCTAAATCCAATAATTAAACGAATTTTAATCTCAAATCAAATCAATCAAATATGTTGACTGTGCATTACATCCTCTATCGATAGCGTGTCAATTGTCGATTACACCCGAGTTCTAGATGTTCTTATTATGGAAATAGCTTCATATCGGAAAGGGGATATCAACCTAAGAAACTCCGTTCAATCGCCAGAGCGTGACGATGCGTACAAGCCGTGAATTATGATCATGCCTTGTACACTTGTACTCAGAATCGTCTATTGTCTCTATAGAATATAAAAAAATAAAAAAGAGTGGCGCAGAGTTTATTGCCAGTTCTTCTCTTCCATTCTACGCCCTTGATTTGAGAACTGGCAGTAAATGTAAAATTAGAAGCATTTAATGTATATTTCCTTTTTGTTTACGTTCATAAGTGTACTGTGTTACCTACATGAATAAATGATTTTTGTTTTGTTATTGGTACCTATATTAATAATTATATAACTGGTGCAACTCGTTTACGAAATGTATTGATTAGTTACCGAAATTTAAAGAAATAGAGAGCTTTAAGCGTCTGAATCTATGATTGATCCTTTATTTTATGATTGAACTTGTTGACAAAGCGTGCTTAAGAGAACTGTTTGGTTTGGTTTCTGCTATGAAAATTATAATACTGGGAATAAATTTTTCAGACGATACTAAACATTATTAATAACTTATTATAAATAATTAGTAAATGATACATATAATAGAATTATTAATAGCTCACTAGTTTTGTGTTTATCTAAAACACCAACAGAAATAATTACAATATTAATAGTTATTACTGATTATAATTATTCTTTGTACATCTTTTATATAAAAATACCCATAAAAACCTATCACGTTTTTACCAAAATGTATCAAAATCAGCTTAGCTTAAATTAGCTTAGCATCAGCTTAGTCACATATATAGCTTATGTAGTTAAGTTGTAATTATTTAAATTTTCGTCATAATTATATAAGAATTTTAGTTACACTACCAGTGAATATACTCGGCCCTACAAGAAATTCCCTTTTTTAGGTCTGGGCCTCAGATTTCTGTATCTGTTTATAATCATTCGTCACCCAATAGGCACGTAGATGATCAGCCTCCTGTGCCTGACACATGCCGTCGACTTTTCTATCTAAGAAAAGCGGGTTCCTTACAACGTTTGCATTCACCGTTTGAGCGAATGTTAAATGCGCACATAGAAAGAAAGTCCATTGGTTTACAGCTGGAGATCGAACCTACGACCTCAGGGATGAGAGTCGCACGCTGAAGCCACTAGGCCAACACAGCTCCTAATAAAGAAATTCTCAATACTCACCCAAAATTACCAGGATAGCAAATCGCTAATTTCCTACATGCATGACCTTGTCCCTTCCCACTGTAATGCTGTCCACCATTGAAGATCACTTCCGAACAGCACGGAGAGGAATATCTGCCGCTATCCGAGTCAGAATAACTTCTGGAGCATTCACTACCACACCATTCGTCGCACGGACAACACTCTGGACTCGCAACCCTGCAGTTGTAATCCCAGGGCATCGTCAGGTCCGTACATTTTTCCACATACGCCCCGGCCAATTGCTCCATATACTGTTTGTATAATCTTTTCTGGCGTTGGCTCTGGGAGACATGTAATCTAAGCACGTTCAAAAAACACATCTTGCAATCTTAACGAATTTTCCGAATTAACTGAAATTAATTGATTGCGTGAGGAAATTTTTCATTAGACAAACTTTCTTTATAAAAGTTAACAATGAATAACATTTTTGTTTATCTGTGCGGCTATTGCCGGCGCGCATGACGTTGTGGCACTGCCCGCGAACGCGGTAATCGACTTACAAATAATTTTCTCGAGGTGAAAAAACGGAACAGTTTACGGAGAAAATGTACCACAGATAATTACATTCAAAAACCGTGGCCGATTCTTTTATCTACGAGTTGATTGCGAACTATTAGACGTAATTAATGCAATGCATTTTCTAAATTTAAATCCATTTAATGTTGATTGGAGAATATATCACGATTATGACAAAATGTTTAAAAGAAAATAAACAACAACAACATCCGTTGCCTTATAACTTTTTGTAACATGTTTTTTGTACTTTTTTATTTTTATTTTATAATAAGGTAATAAAGCATGAATAAATAAATAAACAAGTATATTTTTCTTAAAGTTAAAAACTTTTATTGAAAACGCAACGCAGTTTATTTCCATACAAGAGATAATACTAGCGTAAAATATATCGTAAGTTTAATATTTCTGTTTTCAGTGCTTTGAATTAAATATCTACGTGAAACTTTTGTAATTAGACCTCAGTAGTTTGTAATAATCAATAATATACCTACATAAAACCATAAACATCGTAATTTAGTCCTTACACACACTTAAAAGGATTAAACTCGGAAGCCCTAGTAAGATTCCTGGGTATACCACAGACGGCTTATACGTACATAAAACGATGTTTATATGTCAATAACCCATAATAAAAATATTGCCTATATTCGAGATATATAATTAAGATTACATAAAGTTTATGTTATTATTATATTTAATACTAGAACACGACCTTCGACGTAGTGAAAACCTCTTCCAAATTCTTCCACTTGTCTCTTTTCTTCTTTTATGAGAACTTACCTTTTCAGGAATTTAACCCTCTTTATTCCAGCTCTAGTCAAGATCCTGGTGATGAACCATCTCCCTCAAGTGGAAGACAACAAAGAGACGTGACCATGTTAACATCAGAAAAGAATGTCTTATATTTTCTCATACAAGAAAACAATGTTTTTCAAGTTATATTTTGCATTTAATTAATTCCTAGCCGCTAGTCGACCCTATTACTATTAAGGTGATCATCCACTCCATTTTCTTCCCACTGGGCCATTCTTTCTTCCCACTGAGACACAAACGCGGACAATGTGACATCCCTTTAGTTTTCTTGAATGTTTTGTTTTTTTTTTCTTTAAAGACAATTCACACCAATTGACCTAGTCCCATGCTAAGCTGGTGAAGCTTGTGGTATGGGTACTAGGCAACAGATATACATACATATTATAGATAGATATACATATAAATACATATTTAAACACCCAAGACCTGAGCACAACACCAAATGCTCATCACATCGATGTTCGTCTCAGCCGGGGATCGAACCCGGGACCCATGGATTCGCAGTCAGGGGTACTAACCACTAGACCAATGAGTCGTCAAACGTCTGTTAATTAGGGCTTGTGCTTCGTACTGTTTACACTTGGTATTTAATTGTGTGCGCCAGGTGGGCTGACCAAAATTGATATCGCAATCAAAATATACGCCATATTTCTCTACCTATTTGATACTATTTGCTACCTTCAAAGACACATTTGCTACCTCTGCATTAAAGAACATAATAAATCAATAAAGTGGCCGGCCATTCTGACGTCAGGTTGACTGACCACTATCATTTAATTGGGTTCTAAGAATCTTTAAGTGATAGCGATTTATACATATTTATTACCTATCCAAAAAGTACTCTTTATACTGGCAGACTACACTTATTTGATCTTCTAATGATACTGAACACTTTTTGCCTCTTTTAATTTTGAAAACGCACTACTTTTATAATATATATAATAAATAACTGTTATCGAATTGAGTGAGATATTGTTTAAGCACACTTAATCACAGTTGTGAAAAGCTACCCTCCAATAAAAAGCATCTTCATCTTTGGAAAAACACTAAGCGCCTGCAATGTTGTGATAAGTTATACGTGCCGAACTCTTGCTTTACCTTTTTTGTAGGCGTTTTTAGACCCCTCATGGCTATATTAATAATAAAAAAATGTATAGGCTTCTGAGACTTATTTTAAAGTTCGTTTGCTCAGGTAGAAAATAGTTAGTAAATATGTATAAAAACGCTATCACTCAAAGATTCTTAGAACCCAATAGAATGATAGTGGTCAGTCAGCCAACCTAACGTCAGAATGGCCGGCCACTTTATTATTTTATTATGTTATTTAATGCTGAGGTAGCAAACAGAATGAAATAGATAAAGAAATATGGCGTATAGTTTGATTGCGATATCAAGTTTGGTCAGCCCACCTGACGCACAGCTTTAATTATCAACCGGAGATTAAAACACTCCATAGTCCGTAACATACTCCAATCTTCTTTATGAGCGCATTAATAAAAATCCACCATGCCATTTACAATTAATATCCTATTTACAATTAATTAAAAACATTCATTATCAGCTGAAATAACCTTCTCTCTCTTTCTCATTCTCTCTCTCTCGTCTCACATTGAGACATATTGTTAAGATGATTTAAATAAAACTCACGATCATAACATGTTTAATATATAAAAAAAGCAACATAATATTTAAAACTTCTTTAGAGATATACTGTGCATTGTCATATTAACAATTTTAGTGTTGATTTCATAATATTTTGTCCTAATAAAAGCGCTAAATGTAAGCCAAATTACAACACATATCACAGATGAATAAAAATACTTTTATTTCCATTCCAAAAAAAATAACTATAATAAAAAGAAATAGACTTCCATCTCAAGAGTGGATTCCCCTACTACTTGACTGAATGAGCACATTTCTCAAAAACCCTTATTAAATTTTCATACTCCAAATAAATTGAATCACAATTAAAGCGGGTCTTTAAATACTCCAACGGGTTCTTCTCTTGTGTTAACGTAAAATACAGATTATGAACGAACGTCGTGTTTACAGCTTTGTGATATATTGTACACATCGTTACTTCACCGCATAATTTATTCAGGAAATTAACATGTTGCAAACAATGTTCAAATTCAGCGATATTATGCAAAATGTCGCGATTAAATATAGTTTTTAAACGTGACCCGTCTAGATAAAACAAATCGATAAAAGCATTCGCAGCCGTCACGTATCGGTCCTTAGTTTTATCGCCTGTACTATGCGTCACCGCGAAATTGCTTTTCTTTAACACACCTACTTTGTTACCAATTGGTCCCAACATGAAATAAGATAACAGTATACTATAAACACCGTTTTGAAAATCTTTGTTCTTACGACTGTAGTAAACAAGAGCTATTATAATCATGTGGCAGTCTTTAGAAATACTGTCCAAGGTTACAAAGTCAAATCCATTCATTAGCTCATTAATAATAACCCTGAAAAGTTCAGCAGAGCATAAATCACTGCTGCTCCTAAACATATACAATGCTTTACGAGTTGGTAATTTCTTTTCTATATCCCGAACGATACTTAAAGAAGATTGACGACCAATAAAAGAAATTTTCAAATCTGTAGAATTTGTCAACAGCCCCAATGCATAGAAAATTAGATCTAATGCAACTAACATTGCATCATCTCTATTCTTATCAACAATAAGCCAAGAACCAGAACAACTGTTATTATTTTTTAAATTTATGTACGGAATAGCAATCAGACCCCTTGCCACAGCTGTTTCAAACCAATCTTTACTTGTGGTATCAATCCTTGTTGGATGAACGGCGTGACGATTGCGATATGAACTGGCAACAAAGTGTCTGCTATGCTTGAATAGTTTCTCCATATAGGAAATGGTTTCAAGTAGTTCTTGCTTATCTGAAGGTTTTAAATATTTAGTTAGTGTTTCAATTGCACTTTTTTTATTTTGCTTGCGGATCCAATGCTGTGCAGAAAGAAAAATTAATTTCTCATGGCATTTAAGTATTCCAGGGATGTGTTGGTAGTATGAACTATCTTCATCAGATATTGCTAACAAAATAGACATCATATCTATTGAGAGAGGAAATAGTTGTCGGTTTGGTTTGTACACAGTGCATCTAAAGCCATTGTCATCAAACACAATTGAATTTGGTAAAATGCATGTAACCCCAAATAAACAATACTCGAAATTATTGGTTAATATGGGCAAATTATAGTCAATAGCTAGACTTATTAGAGCTTCACTGTGATTACACTCACAGACAAAATATCGAATGCCTAATTTATCAAACACTTCTCTTTGTACATCTTTCGTAAAAGTAGGCTCACAATACTCATTTTCTTGGCGTCCCGGCTGTATAGAATCAGTTTTATTCATTAATTTCTGATGAATTTCTTTCCTTTTATCAACATCAGCTTTCATAGATCCAGAGAAAATAACATATAATTCTACACCAATGTCTGTGAATGATGTTAACATTTTCCTTAAATAAGCTGCATATCTATCATATTCTCCACCTAATATAAATTGACATCCACTGTTCATATATGTTGTTTTGAAATAATTACCATCAATTATAATTCCAGAATCATCTGTCCTGTTTTCAAATACTCCTACAGATTTTTTCTTTAAATAAGCTCTAACCAATTTCATCTTCATCTTTTTATACTGTAACAAAAACAGTAAAATACTAAAATATTTTAGCAAGTTTGTAAATAAACAATTTATCTTATACATGTCTCATCTAATAAACAATTGTTTTGTTTAATATTATTAGTTTTAATTAGTCGATATGAAAGATAGATCAGGATTTATGGTGTTTGTTAATATTAAAGAAATACAAAGCTTTTTTTTATAAGACATTTTTAATCAAACTATTTATATTTCTTAAAACGAGATTGTTGCTAAGGCAACTTCTTGTATGCCAGTAATCAGTATATACATACTTCACACCCTCTTAAGTTTTTAGAGAATATATGTATATAAATTCTTTAAACCCAATTGTAAGCAAAGTTCTTTTAATCTAGGGCCATACAATGGTTTCGTTAGCATATCGGCTAACTGTATCTCTGTGGAAACATGTTCTACTGTAAAGTCTCCATTGCTAACACATTCTCTAATGAAGAAATGTTTAAGTTTAATGTGCTTAGTACGCTTATGGTACTCATAGCGTGGATTAAGCGCGAGCTTCACAGTTGATTCATTGTCTAACTTCAATACTGGACTTTCAGTTTCAGTAAGTTGGCGAAGTAGGCAATTTAGCCACAAAATTTCTTGTGCTGATTCACTAGCTGCTATTAGCTCTGCTTCAGTAGATGAGATGGAGACAGTTGCTTGTTTCTGACTTCTCCAGCTAATTGCAGCTCCAGAAAATAAGCAAATCATTCCGGACGTTGATTTCCCACTTGCTGGATCTCCACCATGATCTGCGTCACTATAACAAATTAAATGACCGGGAGATCTGCGTGTATAAGTTAAACCGTTATGTTGCGTGCCTTTCAAATAACGGAAAATACGTTTTACCAACATAATATCCTTTTTGGTAGGTGAATCAAGCTTTCTTGAAGCGACACCTACAGCATATGATATATCAGGTCTCGTGCCTACAGATAAATATGCCAAAGCACCTACTGCTTGTCTATACGGAAAGTTTATATTGATATTAACTTCCTCTTCCGTCTCAGTTTCTTTTATGATTGGTGTTGGTGCTGATTTACAATTTGACATTGCATATTTTTCTAAAACTTTTCTTGTGTAAGCCTTCTGACATAATGTAATGGTCTTGTCTTTGCATATGTCTATTTCTAATCCAAGAAAATATGAAGCAGGTTTTATTGTTATTTTAAATCTGGTTTGCAATTGCTTCATGAATTCATCACCCGCTGTGCTTGTGTTATATGCTACAAGTCCATCGTCTACATAAAGACCAATGAAAAGTTTCGTTTGTCCTTTATTTCTAATATATAAACAAGGATCCGCTTCACTCTGCCTGAATCCTGATTTTCGTAAAAACTCAGCAATACATGAATTCCAACAACGTGGAGCTTGCTTGAGTCCATATAAGCTGCGTTTCAACTTGCAAACTCGTTTCGTGTTATCGGAATAGCCTTCAGGCTGTTTCATATAAATCTCTTCCTTTACTTCACCATATAGGAAAGCAGTTGAGACATCGAACTGCAATAATTTTAAATTTTCTTTAGCAGCAATTGCAAGTAAAGTTCGTACTGTGGTCAGACGAACTACTGGGCTAAACGTCTTATCATAATCGACACCAGGTATTTGGGAGTAACCCTTAATTACAAGTCTGGCTTTGTACCTTTCAATGGAACCATCAGGATTCATTTTAATTTTATATACCCATTTACAAGGCAGGGCTTTTCGTCCTTTAGGTAGATTACCCAGTTCCCAAGTTTGGTTGTCATTTAGTGAAGTAATTTCACTCTGCATAGCGTTTTGCCATTTTTCTTTATCAGTAGAATCCATCGCTTCTTTAAAGGTCGAAGGTTCAGTAGGTTTGTGAACATTTTCAATTTCTTCCGCTGCGGCTAAGATAAAATCATCATAACGCCTAGGAGCTGTGATATTTGATCTACTTCTTAGTGACCTTATTTGAACGGAGGCGTTTTCTACATTGTCATTACTGTTTACTGCTTCTCCGACACCGTTTTTAACAGGGTCTTCAATATTAGAAGAACCAGAAAGTGAGTCGTAGTCACTTTCAATATTTGTTGGTTCCTGAATATTTTGTTCCAAAATTGTATTGTTATCATTTTTCGTGTCAACATTGTTGTCATATTTATCAATGTCATCAAGCGTCATAGTAAGTTTCTTTTGTAGTGTTTGTTGTGAAGACAATTGTTGAGGTTTTGCTGTAGACTCAATTTCATTAAAAAGTGTTGAAATTCCGTACTTGTTTTCTTCGTAGTACATGCATTTCATAACTCGAATATCTTTCGAAGTAATGATTTTGTTTTTCGAAGGAATGTAGATTCTGAAAGCTTTTGACGTTTCAGAGTATCCCACAAACATCCCTGGAATTGCTTTAGGTGCAAATTTGTGACCATTAGATCCCTTTTTCAAAACAAAAGTCTTACTACCAAATATATATAGATGATTTACACAGGGCTTTCTACCAACCCATCGTTCGAATGGTGTTCGATTTTGAATGGCATTGTTTATGTTTCTATTTGCCAAATAATTAGAAGTAGCCACTGCCTCGCTCCAAAGTTTCAATGGTGCATTTGCATCTATCATCAATGCTCTTGCTTTTTCTAATAGGGTACGGTTTTTACGTTCAGCAACTCCATTTTGGTGTGGAGTATAAGGTGCGGTAAGACGTCTTTGAATACCACACTGTTTTAAGTAAGTGTCAAACTGCTTATTAACATATTCAGTGCCGTTGTCAGATTGTAAAAACTTAATTTTGTTACCTGTGTGTGTTTCCGCTAACTCTTTGAACTCTTTGAATTTTTCAAGTACTTCGCTCTTATTTTTCATTAGATAAACTCTACAGTATCGACTGTAGTCATCTATAAAAGTAACAAAGTATTTATTTTCGCGTATGGTGGGCGTCTGAATAGGTCCACACACATCGCTGTGAATGATTTGTAAACATTCTGTTGTTCTTTGAGTTGTTTTATTACGTGGAGCAGGTTCACGGTGCAGTTTTGCTTGTATGCATACTTCACAGTCATTCAAATCTTCCGATGCATCAAAATTTAAGCCAATTAAGTTTTCATGTCTACGCGCATATTTCAGATCTTTTACGTTCATATGACCCAGTTTTCTATGCCAGTCATTAATACTTGATAAAGTCGTTGATTCCTTCGGAGGAGAACTTGTTACCTCTACTACCCATATGTTGTTTTTAAGTTTCTTATTATTTGTAAACAGGCACTGCATTATGTAATTATTTTTATGAGAAGAATCAAATTTCTTAGCATGTTTACCTTTATTTTCCTTCCAGCAGTTTGAACAAATTTTATGGTGTTTGTGTTTAAAGATATTACCTCTTCGTTTACAAACTTTACACGATGCATATAAAGCTTCTTCTTGAATAGAGGATTCAGATTCGTCGTCATTGGTTTTATTGTGATTATGGCGAGCTTCATATTCTTCAATTATTTTAATTTTAAGCTCTTCAGGCTTAGGAAGAACATCTCGTGATTCAATAGCGACTCTGAAGTTCTCGTATTCTTTCGAGAGGCTGTATAGCATTAATATTGTTAAAAGGTCTTCATTGATAATTATGTCCATGTCTGCCAGTTTGTTAACTATATCCATGAATTTGTTTAGATGACTTTGTATCTCATGTCCATCTAATTTATTTAGGATTAGTTGTTTCAGTAAAAAAGCTTTACGGGCAGGTCCTTTGCTAGCGTAAATGTCTTGTAGTTTATTCCAAACGGCTTTTGCAGATAGGCATTTTTTAATTTGGTTAAGCTCAGAGGGAGAAATCATAAGAATTAGTTCCGATCTGGCTTGTCTGTCACCTTCTGTTTCAGCTGCACTTGGATCCTTACTTAAAGGACTTTCAATGTATTTCCATAATTTGTTTCTTACTAGGACTGCTTCAGCCTGTATTACCCATGTATCATAGTTTTCTTTTGTTAGGGGATCTATTCTTGCGATCGACATTTTTTTATTTCGCTTTTTTCTTTTTTTTTTTTTTTATTCCTTTTACTCAACGCTCTGCTACCATGTAAAGTTTTAATTAGTCGATATGAAAGATAGATCAGGATTTATGGTGTTTGTTAATATTAAAGAAATACAAAGCTTTTTTTTATAAGACATTTTTAATCAAACTATTTATATTTCTTAAAACGAGATTGTTGCTAAGGCAACTTCTTGTATGCCAGTAATCAGTATATACATACTTCACAAATATTATTAGTTTTAAAATAACTTATTTATTATCTTATCAACCCATTTAACTCTAAAACGCGCTTATCAGATTAGTACCTATAGACTAAATTCGCAAATAAAATTAATTTTATGAATATACATTTCTATAGCGCTTAATATAGGTACAAAATAATGTTGCATTTTGTGGGATAGCCCCTGAATTAAAATATTATTTTTTATTGTAGTTGAAATTAACTTTATTAAATTTGGTATATACAGACATTCTAATGAAAAAATATAATTTATTTATCATTACACGTGTAATGATAAATAAATTATAGTTAGATTGTTCAATAATAAGCAATATTACTTTGAATCCACGTCTATACAGCTATTACAGCTGTACGCCTATACCTAATATCAACTTTAATAAAACTTACGCAAAAGGTTATCGGCAATGCAATGAAACCGTGCAATATAAATGTAATAAACAGCTACGAAAGGCTAATTTCTTAACTCTAAAGTCTAAACATATAACAGTTAACACCTTTAGAGCAAGCGCGCACTACGTTTTTAGTAACGTATCACGTATGTATAACATAGTTAGTAGTTACCTGTTACAGTATAATAAACTTTCGGGGGAAGTCCCGACCATAGAGAAAAGCGTTATGAAAACCGAAAATTATAATATATAGAACTAGGAATGATTTTTATAACCAAAGATTATATAAATCAAGAAATATGTTAGATTGTTGGTTAAAAATGTAAACTACAATAACTCTAATACATTTATATTCCCATACAATAATTTATTTTCATTTGATAATTTTTACTGTAACATAGTCAAATTTGAAATCGACAGTCAGTAGATTCCAAAGACGTTAAAAAGGCTAGGAAGCATAGCATCTCTAATTCTTATGCAGTCTAAGTATACAAAAACGAGAACGTGAATCTATAACAATTATTAATTAACAAGTCTGTGTGTAGCCACAGATAGACTGGTCAACAGCGAGATTCTATTTGAAACAAAGTGACAACTGACAGACCACAGTCCATAAACATAACCATTTCCCGCCAATATTTATTTTAGTTTATGTTTTATATGTTTATTTTCCTTTAAAAGTTTATATTTTACTGTATTGCAATGGAAACAAACGATGAACTTGCTCAATTGGAACAACTTTTATGTGCAGACTTTACTGAAGATAATCCTACAAAAGGAAAAGAACGTAGTGTTCAGGATGTGGACATATTCAACACACCACATACGGACGATCATTTGCCTCCAGGTACGTCTAACTCGTCTTCAGCAGTTCATAATGGAGATACAGATTCCTCTGATGATGAAGAGAGAAAAAATTATACAGAACGCAAATACAACAATTACGGGTCGTTAGTCAAAAAATCTTTAGATCAAAAAGATCACGAGCTAGTTGATAAACGATTAGAATTTGAAAGCAGATTACGAGATACTAATAGAGATCTAAAAATTTCCAAAACAACAGCTAAAAAGTCTATTCAAAATATTGCACATGCTGAAAAACATATGTTTAGTGCACCAGAAACTAAAAATAAAAAACCTGCCGACATATTGACTGATCCTGTGTTTGGAATTCGAATAACAAAGCCAATAATATCAAGTACAGCTCTTTTAGACCGCATGCAAGGCCGGGAAGCAGTTAATGTTTTGCGTGTAAAAAGGTATGTCGAAAATGAAGATCTCTCTAAAGACTGGGTTATAGCCGGAGTCATAATTAAGAAAAGTTCAACGAAAAAATCTCAAAAAGGTAATCAATTTATTATTTGGACTCTAAGTGACTTGAAAGATGATATAAAAACAGTGTCAATCTTTCTTTTTCGTAAAGCATACAACGACTTGTGGAAAACAACGGAAGGTACAGTTGTTGCAATTTTAAACCCTAATGTTCTTGATAGATCTGAGAACAGTAAAGATCAAGCATGTCTCAGTGTTGATAACACTGATCGTGTTATGATACTTGGCCAATCGAAAGATTTTGGAATTTGTAAAAGTAAAAAGAAAAATGGTGAACCATGTTCAGCTATTGTCAATATGAGTCAAGGTGAACACTGTATTTACCACATCAAACAGGAGTATCAAAAATATTCCAGACGTCAAGAGCTCCAATCCTCAACCATGGGTAAGGGTCTTGTTAATTTACAAAATAAAGTTTTTGGTAAAAACACATTTATGTATGGTGGTAAAGCATACTCAGCTTTACCATCTGGTAATAATAAAGTTGTTAAAGAGAGAGATCAAAATAGATTAATGTCATTAAGTGACTATTACAAGTCTGAAGGTAATAAACTTATGACCAATAAATCACCATGCCAAGCTAACATTTTACAAAATAAAAGTGGATTATTGCATAGTCCTAAACCTCAAAAAATAAGTGACACACAGAGATTAAATGCATTGAGCCAAAATACATTGTGTGAGTCAAGTTTAGCTGAAAAAGTAGCCAATTCCCCAACATTGGGCAAAGGGTTTAGTTTAAATGGAGGAGGCACAATTGATCTTAACATGTCCTACAGCATAAAGCGTGCAGAAAAAGCTAAGCTGCATGCAGTTAGATTGATCCAGCAAAACGGGGGTTTAGAAAAAATCAACCCTAATAACATAAAAGGTACTGAAATAGGAAAGAAAAGAGCTATTGAAAAACTACTGACAGAGACTGATTTTGATGAAAATTTTAGTAAAAAGACTAAATGTAATGATGGTGGTGTCAAACCAAAGATAAATATTATCTCAGGAAATGAAAATGCCTATTCTAATAAAAAACCTATGTCTGAACGGTTCAAGAAAATTCTTGAAGCCACATCAGCTCACGTTAACTTAATCAAACAACATGAAGATGAAGAACAAGATAAATACTTTAATAAGTTAGAGAAGAAAGAAGCAATGGAGGAAAAAATGTTGAACACATTTAAAATTGCTTGCAAGGCGGTGAGGTGTGTTAAATGTAAATATACAGCATTTTCAGCAGCAGAACTTTGCAAAACCGAGAGGCACCCAATAAAAGTTATTGATACATATAAACGATTCTTCAAATGTGCAGACTGTAATAATAGAACAATAGCATTTGAAGTATTGCCTTTGCATTCATGTGGTAATTGTAGAGGCTCGAGATGGGTTAAAGCTCCAATGATGAGAGAGAAGAAGGGAGTTATAGGAGAAACATTGTCCATAAGGGGAGAAGAAGAAGGGTTTATTGGAGCAGTGGTAACTGCAGGGAAGAATGTGAACCTACTTGTTCCTGATAGTTGAAGATTTGGAAAACTATAATTTTAATTATCAGTATTTTTATTCTAATCATACTAGACATAACTTTGTACCATCTGCTTGTTTAAATAATATATTTTAGCTTATTATCAATTTACAAACTTTATTTTATTAAGGTTGACTCCTTGTTTTGAAATTTTTAATGTTGACTGACTTAATAGATAATAAAATTTATACAAAACACTATTAAGATATTTTATTAATCAAATTTGATTTATTCATAGAAAAATCCATTGAGGCAAAGCCGACGTTATGCGAGTTACTTTGGGGTTGTAAATCATACTCTTAAATACTAACGAGACTTCTCTGTTATCTATATCTAGTTGAATACATTTCACGTAAACTTTTTTACAATTACCTGTCAAAAACATACAAACAAAACTGATTGTAGGCATTAAAAATATACTATTGTTTCAACAATAAAATAAATTGGTTAAAACTATTGCTGCATTCCCATTTCTAAAAGAACTGCGTAGTGCGTAATAACCGTACTCATACGTCGATGTCGCGGATATTTAATGGTTAATTACGTGTCGAGTTAATCCGACTCTGACTTTACCCTAGTCTGGAATTTATAAAGCTTAGTGATGCGCTAACGATTACCATTTACTCGTATTCATGCGTCACGAGAATATCGGTATAATAGTAAAGATCCATTTAATTCAATAACTTTATTCAAACTAATCTCTCAGCTGTTAAAGACAAGGAATAAATGAAAGTCAGTATGAAAATAAAGCAATAATATAATTTTATTTACGAAACCTCCAGTAAATAACACTGAATCATTCCATCAATGCGTCTGATTTCATATAAGTTTTATATTCGGAGTGCAATTTGGTTGGCTTTATATATTACACAGCCTTTGATATTTTTACTAAATACAAAACAGTGAAGCTAAATTGTGTTTCACAAATTAACAAATTCCTTTAGGGTATTTAACATAAATTAATTTCAGAGTCAAATACACGGAAAACCTTTAAAATCTTAAAGGCTTTGACCGATTTTCTGTCAAAATTCGATATAAAAATTGCTAACAAATATTACCACTGCCGGTGCTTAAGTAAAAAGCTCATGAACGTGGTCGAAAATAGTCAATTGTATTTTTAATAGAAATTCACTGGTCATATACTGTATAACAATCTTGTCTTGAGCATTAAAACATGAAATTGCGTCATCCGAGTAATTTCTGACAACCACTGAAACTAGATATCTTTAGAAAGACAATTTTATAACGTCTAAACTAACATAAAACTATTTCACATTTAACAATTGACTTAACAATGACATTTGACATTTCCGCACGTTCATAAACACGTGGAGAGTTCAGACATAGACAATGGACTTCACTGAAACACTGTAAAAATATAGCTATAGAGAATGTACAGTTAAAATGGCCACTGATACTTCCGATTTAAATTTAAAAAAAAATTGTCCCGCCATTTCTCTATAGTTCGATGGCTGAATAGGGCACTGCCCATTTTCTAATTTTGACAGCCGTTAACCTCCATACATTCTCTTGTTTTGATATTTGACAACTGAACGTCGTCCATTTTCTATTGTTTTGACATATAGCGGGCCAGTCCATTCTCTATATCTACAGACGTATAGGAATCATTCCCATTCAGTAGTGGCTGGGGGTTTGGGCGTCAGATCGTAGAGAACACGAGATATTCCCGGTACTGTCATCAGCTCTTTGCGCATTCTGTCGACCACCTGGAAGTATTACAAAATTATTTAATTCAAATAGCACGAGTATCTAAAGTAAATATCGGGATGATAACAGTATTCACTAAATTATTTAGTTAAATATTATTTTAAATTTTCTTGGTATATAAAGAACTGGCTAGTGAGCCAGTGATTCTTTATATATAATCAATTACGAAATTATTATTGTATTAAATAACACATTATTGAAAGGTTTGCATGAAAATATAATTATTAATATACAAATACATGTATTCCCTCTGAATATCAACTTATAATAATTAATTGTTTCAGAAAATCATCCATTTTCCAATTATAAATGTCTGTATTCACTCTAATTTTGATGAAATTTTTCAGTACCTTAAGTTAGAATATACCGGATTTAAATCAAAATAGTACCAATGCGATTTTTAGTTTTCCGGTAATTTGCGTACAAACATACGTACACTTACGAAATTTGGCACACGTGTCTGACAGTTTAACACCACTTTTTTGAAACTGTTAAAATTCAAGAGAAACTTGGTCACGTAACCATATCGAATGAGGTAAACGTTTTTGCAACTCACATCCTGCGGCATGACGTCACTGCCGGGCAGAGCCGCGACTCCCGTCATGAAGTCCGAGGTGAGGAAGGGGCGAAGCACCAGCGAGCGTTGGCACGAAGGTGTCCGAAGAGCCGCGTCTCGGTCGAAGTGGATGGGGATCAGCACCACGGGCATCTGCGCGATGCGGTTGATGTACCCGCTCGATGTTAGCACCTGCAGATTTTTATTCGTTATTATTGGAGCCCCGTTCAAGTATTACGTAAGCGCTATAGGGGGGAGGGATCTTTGATTTTCTTATTTGGTGATTACGTCACCAGTAATTATTTACTTTTTTACAAATATTGTCTATGCTTGAAAACTTATCTATCTATCTATCTTATCTCTCTATCTCTATACTATCTTTTAAAATTACTATAGCAGACTGTGCTGAATAACAATTTTTTTCGTGTCTGAGTGCCGCTACCTTTATATAATTCTAATAAAAAAATATGGTGATGTAAAAGGAAAGAAATTGTAATTAAAAAATATTCAACAGTAATTTTATCTTACCTGTGTGGCGAGATCATCTGCCTGACGAATTGTAGATATCACTTGTTGTGTTAAGAAAGTCGGTGTTATATCTGTTATCTGCTCCTTTATTACTCCGCCGAACGCATAACACACCCTAAAAATAAAAAAATAAAGTTATTAACATGCAACATATAAAATATATTTAGTTTTATGTTTTCATCCTCATCTTTCATCCATTCCTCTGGCCCTTATGAGACATACTTTAAGCCTACAACAGTAATACACGAGAAGCCGACCGCGCTTAATTCGACAATACTCTCCCACGGCTCTCGCTTCACCCTCCAATTAAGGCGTATACGCACGTATACGCAATTTTTTTTAGATACAACACATTAACGACCTCCATGTACGTCTTTAATGCGTGCCCGTAAACAAAAATAAATGTATGTGGATTTAATTTCTACTGAAACTGTCACAACAAGACAAAAAAATCTAAAAGATTTCTCTTTGAAAATAAATAAAAAGTGGTCCTTCGAGCCGGAATCGTACCTATTAACATTGTGGCAGACGCGCGGAATGATACGCGCCAAGTATTGCATATCCTTCCAATCGGGTGGGTAGCGTTCTGTCGATAGGGCTACTGCGTAGCTGTATGTCCGTCCGTCTCCTATAAACAAAAGAAAAATTTATTATTTCTTTTACGGCCATAAACGCGAATCAAATACTTCACACGTCTAGTATTGCTGAAAAACATTTGAAACAAATATTATCGCTTTTATACGAGTTTTTAAACGTTTATTTTGTTTGGTAGAATAAAAATCAAAACAGGTTGACACGAATTAGTGCCTGATATTTCTTTTAAAGCAAGCATTATATCATCTAGCTAAAAAATCTTTTAAAACCTTATTTTATAAATGATTGAAATCGAGTCACTTCGAGAAATATATATTTTTTTATGGCTCTGGCACGGTTTGTGCATTAGCCAGCGTCAAGTATAAGATTATATTTTATTTTAAGGGAAACATTGGTAACTCGTAGGTCACCCGTCACAGACTAGAGAGCTAGAATAAAACGTGACAATACACATTGAATTATGAGAAAGTTTTAACAGATTACAATTTTGTACAGATATATTATACCATAGCCAGTGAGGGGCATTTTTTAAAAATCAATCTCTTACCTTGTACTCCCACAGAGCGCAGAGGCAAAAGTGTCGCGACAATAGGCCCAGTCGATGAGATGCGCCTTAACTCGGTTTGTTCAACTGGCGTCGTCGCGTTCGATACGCGACCGAGTAACGCGTGACATTTGACGCACATAGACGCGTACTCCACCATTATCTTTACTATCACCTGGAATTATTTCACACAGTATAATCATCATCTCGAACACAGATAAAAGGCGGACTAAGACAACTATATGGAAATGACTATGGGGAAGAAGGGGGCGCCCCAAAAGTACGTGGATGGAGGTGGACGCTTCTATATCTTCTAGAAGCGTTAACAGGAAGCGAACGGAGACAGAAAGCCATGGAAAGGAGATTTGGAAAAAGCTGGAGGAGGCTTTTATCCGCGAAGGGGTTCCGATTAACGGTACTGAAGGAAGCTAGGATATTGGGATAACAAGAAAAAATATATATGTATATTATAAAATTTACACTTAACCAAAGAGAATTTGAGGATATATTTGAAGAGGCGGGAAGACATTGACTTGTTTGACAGTAACAATCAAGTTTATATTTGAAGTATTATCGTTTGGAAATTTCATTTTTTTTTTACTTTTCTGTTTCAAATACATTGCTTATAAATATAATCTAAGTGTTTTGTTTTATAATATGTATGTTAGCTATAAGATTACTAATAAATATATTCTACTTTTGTTGGAAAGTGGAAATTAAACAGGCTTTTATTTTTATTAAACTTTTTAAGGTGTTCCCTTTGTTTCACCAACGTAATTGTTAATTACATTTCTGTTGGAATTCTATAATATCATCACTAAATACTTGGACATTGATGATTAGATACATTTGCACTGAAATAATCAGGGGTTCAAAGTCTTTTCACCTAAGAAAAAAATTAAATAACTCCAATAGTGGAATAAAAAGAAGCCCTAATGTAAGCCATACACGTGCATATCGGTAAAGTGTATAACCACCTTAAGAAATACTAACCTGTGTCTCGGCGAAGTCCCTATCAGCGAAGGCTTCATCCTGGCACAATACCCGTACGGCGAGTCCCGGTCCCGGGAACGGTTGTCTCTCTACTAGCGCCGGAGGCAGACCCAGCTCTGCGCCTAGTATGCGAACCTGGAGTATTTTTAAATTAATAAAAAAATGTGTTTATTCATTATAATATGCTTTTCAATGTGCAAGATTTGCGAACCCTTTCAAGTAAAAAATACCTGTCAGGTTTCCCAGCCCTTAATAGTTAATTCCATAACAAATTGTTTTTCTTTTTTAAATTACAATTTTGTTTTTTTTTTTAATAACAATTTTTATTTTTATTCAATTACAATTTGTTTATTTCAATTAAAATTTTGTTTTTTTTTTCAATTACAATTTTGTTTTATTTTAAATTACAATTTTGATTTTTTTTTAATTACAATTTTGATTTTTATTCAATTACAATTAGTTTTTTTTTTCAATTACAATTTTGTTTTGTTTTAAATTACAATTTTGATTTTTTTTTTTAAACTGTCTACATCAACTTCTCTCGATTTTTTTTACCAAAGCGCATGACGCGACGTTTAACACATGAGTGTCTGTAATGTGCATGAATGTGTAACTACATGTTAGGTCTGTCTGTAGTCTCTAGGTGTTATCTCCAACTCTGCGTAAGTTGAGTTCAGAAGCCAGTCCTTTAACTTTTTGACGTGACAACATCTAATAAATCTATAAACGCTAGCTGACACTGGCACGAAAAAGCATGAATCATTGTCCCGTTACGCTCATTGTACGCTTGCGCCACATATATCTCTCTTCCATTCGATTGACCTATGCTTCCGAGGATTCACTCCTTCTTTATACCCATACAAAGTAGTGAAAGTTCAATAAAAATGATACAAATTTGTTTGGTATGACGTTGTCTCGTTAAACTATCGTCCGTAAACCGACTTTACAGACAATCATTTAATTTTTTTTTAATTTGGTAGAATTACTGTAAAATTTTTTAGGTCTTAAACGTAATAGCCACCTGTAGAATATTTTATAAAATAATTGTTTTGGCTTATAAAATAATAACCAATCAGAACTTTGCACGTTTACTCAAAGGAACTGCAAATTGCAGTAAATTTGCTTACGTAATACTTGAACGGCCCTTTAAACAAAGACAATATTGCCAATCGTGTACCTCGTCCTTATGGAAGTCCTTGAGCGGCTCCACGACTCTGCCGCGTTGCCTTAACACGCGCACCAGTTCCGTGTCATTGTGGTGTGTCTTGATTGTGGCCGCATTGCTTGAGGCCAGCGAAGAGGCCGACTCTATCAAGTCCGGACGGAGAGTTCCTTGGCCGAGGAGCACTTGGTCCTCTCTGAAATTAAACATATTAATTAAATATAATTATATAAATTTACTTTTAGCCTGTGGGGAAAGAAGGTCGTGGGAGTTGATTTGTCGTCGCTGTAGTGTTATTTTTAATGTTAACAATACACTTCATATTTTTTTTAAAGTCATGAATAGCAAATAACACTTATTAGATCACGTAACCAAAAACTATAAAAAAATAGGCCTGCGCTGTTACTTCTTTATCGCACGGTACGAAAATAAAATATATAGAACTTCGATTAAAAAAAGTAAAAACCGGAAGTATAAATTTGAAATAAGTTTTTCAAAAAGTCCCGCCAATATTTTTAAGCTATTGCATAGCTTTATATTGTATAATAGCATTGCGGGCTTTGAGCGCGGCGACCGAATCAAGAAATTCCGTAACGAAAAAAACCTAACACACGATGACGTAATATAGGTGCGGCCAATACGCGATAGAGCGGGACAGAACGCATACTGTATTCACATCTCTCTGACAAGATCGGTGACGTAGCGTAAGCGCGGCCGGTGCAGCCGGTACGCGTTAGAGTGAAACAGACTATATAGTAGTAATATCAAAGAAAAAAAATACTGCATAATTAAAAATAAATAAATACCTAATTATAATTTAATAAGTTGATAAAAAATGCTATGCAATAGATTTACCGCGGCATTCCCCGAGTGCCACACGTTTTTATTTTTGTATAACAGTTTTAATTAAGTCAATCTTTTATCAATTGCATATTTACTTACTGTACATTCAACAGATCCCTGACAGCCTGTTCCGCAACCTGCATGAAGACATCCCCGATGATCTTCCGCTTGTCCTCCGGGGCTACTGTGTGGCACAGTAAAGGCGTGTGCCGAGAGCGACCACCCGCCTCTCGGACCGTTGTACTGCCTTGTCTAAACTGTGGATGGATAATTATACATAAAAACTGAAAGGAACTGGTTCGATTCCTTATGAAATATATCTTTGTTCCGCAAGCTTGCGAGAGATTTCATTTTTGAAGGCTCCTAGAATCATCTCCTCATCAGAACGAAAGACCGCGCGGCGACATGGTCAAGGATTTGGATTTTGATTCTCCCAATGGATACAGAGAGAGAATGCAGGTCGTAATGGAGTAAATTGGAGGTCTACATCCAGAAATGGAACAAATAAAGAGGCAAAGAAATAAAGCTCTGGGATATATCCTTTAAACATAATTGGTACTGAAAGATGAGGGAAAATTTTTTCACAAAATTTTAAAAATAATCTAGTCAAACAGTTTTAGTATAACATGAAAATAAAAAGAAATATCTAAAGAAACGATTTCGATGAAACTTGCAATAAAAACAAAAAATATCTTCGAAAAGCGTTTACAAGAAATTCGTAAAAACAATATCCAGCTAAATATATAAAATTCCAATGTTTTGTTTTTTTTTCTTCTAAAAACTCTTTAAATAAATAAATCAGTGGCACTACAACCTTTTTAGGTCTGGGCCTCAGATTTCTGTATAATAATCATTTGTCAAGTAAGTCTTTTGGGTCTAAGGCAAGCCGGATTCCTCACGATGTTTTCCTTCACCGTTCGAGCGAATGTTAAATGCAGAGAGTCCATTGGTGCACAGCCGGGGACCGAATCTACGACCTCTGGGATGAGAGTCGCACGCTGAAGCAATTAAACTAACACTGCTCTAATAATATCGATATTAAAAATATATAAAAAAAACCAAACCTGATGTCCCGCGTTGACGACATGTAAACGAACCCCTAACTCACGGAGGCACCTTTCCACCTTCGAGCTCTCGTTTTTACGCATAAAACCTGAAAAAGAAACCTCTCTTCATGTTTTTCCATCACGTATATGTATAAACTAGCCGTTTCGCGCCCGCTTTGCTGGACGAATTAAAATAAATTTTATGTTTCATTATTTTATTTTTTTTCATATTTTTATTATTCATCTTTTTAACTTCCCGCTAAGAAAATTGAAATATTTCGAAAATCGAGTTTTTAACGGATGTTGACGTTTAGAGGTTCTAGGAAGCCTCCCCGAATGTTTCCGCGGTGAAGTCCGTATGGATAAATTTTCATAAAAGTAAAACAGCAATAAAAAAATGAAGGAACGTTGGAATTTAATAAATAGCCATAAACCATCGCATCGAATGGTGGTAGTTTCATGTCGATACGATCAGTGGTTTAGGCGTGATTGAGCCTCAAACGAAGACCATTTTCATTATATATATATATAGATAAATACCGGCCATGTACCGAGACCAAATTCTATTAAACTCGATTTTCTAAAATTAAATACAGTGTAAAACTCCATGTAACATCGTCCGACGTAACGTCAAACTCCTTAAAGCGTCGTTCTATGCTTTCTACACTCTACATAGCATAACATCCACCCTCAATAACGACAACAAGTAACACTAGTTGTGTACTTTTTAATTAGCCGAAATTAGTTAAACATTTGCAATTTTCTATATTAATATAAACGTTTTTCCTTCAATAACTAACTTTTTGTTTTTGAACTAACCATTGTCAATATGAAGTGCTACAACTTGGTCTTCTTTGAGCGCAGTCCGAAGCAAAGCCGCACACACTGTCGAGTCCACACCACCACTCACCAAAACCTAACAAACACATAAAAAATACAATCTAAAACCATACAATTTGAGCTGCTAATTCTCCTTAGAACCAAAAAAAATTGGAAATTGGCATCCACTTAGATCCCAATGCTGTATATTTCACACAATAATGCCAATTGTTTTTACACAAAAAGTCAAAAGTTTCTCTATCTAGTGATATTGTCAAAATTATTTTCAGAAGACGACGGGCAAACGAGCATCAGGCTCATCTGATGTTGGATGAACGCTCTCACTGCTAGAAGGCAATAGCATTGTCGGCCTTTTAGAAATCGAGTGTAATTTTATAATTTTCATATAGTTTTTATAATACATATGGAAAGTGAATATTCTAAATTAGGATATAAATTTTAATACATTATTATTAAAAAAACTTACCAGCACTTTATTATCTCCAACGGTATCCCGTATGTATTGTACGCACGCGTCACGACGCGAACGCAACGTGAACGTACGAGACATGCCCGCTATGTCGAACAGGAAGTTGGACAACATTTGCTTGCCTTTGGGTGTTAGGTCCACCTGGAAATCAAAAACATACATCTTAATACTACGAATATTATATTTTTACTAAAAAATTTGTTTGTCTGTTAATGATTACGGAGCATAATTTTACGTTATAACGTCATAAGAAAACATTGATGAAAAATTGCATACTTTTATGAATTGAATAATCACTAAATTATCATTATTTTGTATAATATATAGGAGTTAATTTGAAAATTACAATTTTTTTCTATAAATTAACATGTATTTGCACTCGTTAATTATTATTTTTTTTACTTAAATTGTACCGATTACAATTAAATATACTCGGACGCATCGGCCGATGGAGTCGTAGAGAGTGAGATTGATTGTTGCACAACAACAGACTCGGGGATCTCCCCAATTCAAAAACGTTGCCTAGTGAATGCTGTCTCCGACACAATCGGCATCTACATTATGTTCACCGATATTGTGTATCTTATATACTTTATAATATTTTTTAAATGCATGTATATTTATTATAACAATCAATCACAGTATTTACAATTTTCTTAACCTACAATAATTAAATAATTTAACATTAATAAAAAAAATAAAATAGTTTGGTCCCTGTGGCAGTGTACCGTTACCGCTGGCAGCATTTTCTCACTGTATCGCGATACTTATTCGTTTAGCGAGGAAAGCATCAGCTCTGGGGTATTTTTTTTTTAATCGACATTAACTTATTGGCCTAGTACTGTAAGGATAGTTAATATTTTGTGAATAAATATAAAAAAAAATTACCTCTGGGTGAAACTGAACCCCGTAAAGACGCATTGGCTCGTTATAAATCGCCGCAATCAGATGGTTGGAGGACTGAGCTCCAACGCGGAATTTTTCGCCAACCTTCGACACACTGTCACCGTGTGTTAGAAGTACCGGCTGTAATTTTTCTAGACGACTGCAAACAAAATTTAAATATTAAAAATAAATAAAAAATTCTACCAGTTCAATAAAGAGCGTACGTACACAAGAACGGGAAATGAACTCACTATTTTTATTCTATTGGACACTTACTTATGTTAAATATCTTTATTAGTAAATGAGCTAAGACTTAAATTAAAATAAAATGGTTTATTATGGAACATAAGATACATGTATCACTTATTCCACGTCATTAAATTTGAATCGGTAGACATCCCTACTCATCGGCAAAGAAGACGAAGGGTGTAGGCTGAGAAAAAGCCGGCGTAAAAACTCTCGGTACACTTTTAACATTACTATTATACTTAAGTTAAGGTGAGATAGTAATATTCTATCAGCAGTGGCTGATTTAACAGCAGGCTAAGTCTAGGGCTGCCGAATTGGGAACCGATTATTTTGCAACCTCATAGAAATCAAAAAGATTTGCGTCACGGTTTTCTAATGTTTTACATATTATGTAAGTGTATGTCTTCCATAAAAAAAACAAGACTTCTAAATAGAAGACAAGCTAAACCAACCAAAGCCAAATTGATTTCGACGCATTAGGACGTTAAATCGAACGACGTTACCTAGAGTTTACACTGTATTTACTATTTAAACATTAAATTATTTTTTGGTCGACTGCAAATCAGTGATATAATCGATATTTTCTATTTTTTTTTATGGCTCTGGCACGGTTTGTGCGTTATAATGTGGATAACCAGCGTCAAGTATAAGATTTTTATAATTCGTGCTTGCCTTAGAAATTCGACCGTGTCCTCCATGTACGGTTTAAGCACTCGCCCGGTACCGCACAACCCTCCCAAAGGCCGAGAACAAATTTTAAATTAAATTAAAACTTGCCCCCGAACCGGGAATCGAACCCGGTACCCCTCACCTAGCTGCCACTTAATAAGACCGCTAGGCTATGAGGCCCTCATATTTTCTATTATAGACAAAAAAAAAATAATATGCTTACTTAAACAAGGGACACGTGGTCTCAATCTCCACCTCATACTGTCCATCTTCACGTGCCTCTTTACGTAGCACTGACCCACCAAACTCCTTGTTTAACATCTGCATACCGTAGCATATACCTACAAAGACAAGCAAATCGTTAACGGCTCGGACGGGAACTCCGTGTGAATACCATTATCGAATCGGAAACATAATTTCGATGGAGATCTAGTCCAGTTATTAATATGTTGTAATAGATTACTTAAGTAACATTTAAAATTCAATTAAAAAAATATTTCATGTAACCTATGTAATTAATTCAATATATATACATTCTTGTGGTAGAGAAAATAACAACGCTTTTATAAAGCTTTAAAAGGTTTAGTTTACAATTTTGAACTTTATTCGCTGAGGTTTAAGTTTTCATTTAGTTCTGGTTATTATTGTTATTTTTTATCTTTTTAGTTTTAGTTATTATTAATTTTTAAAATAATGTTATTATTTTTTGTTAAATTTTTTACTTTGATAGATTGCTTTTGTTCTAATGTAATTGATAGGTGTGTGATGCGTGTTAAATTTGTCATATTGTCTTGTATTTTTTAGGCATACACATTGTTTTAGAACGTATAATTAAATAAATTAATTAATAAAAACGATATTCCTAATAATTTGTATATTTTATCCGGCGCAATTTATTCTCATTTTAAAAGCTTTTATCACATAAAACATAATTACCTAAAACAGGCAATCCCATTTTGAATATATCAGCATCATATCTCGGCGCATCTTCAGCGTACACGGAATTGGGTCCGCCAGATATGATAATCGCTCTGTACCCAGCCTCGCTGAGGTGATACGCCGGAGTGTCCAACGGTAGAATATCTGACTCCACGCATAACTCGCGGACTCTGCGATCTATCACCTGGAATTGGTAAATTAATAATTACATATTTAACTAATTGATTTTGATTAAAAATTTACTGTTCATCTACTGATGTCCGTTATAGCGAATAGTTAAGTCAGTCATGTGGGGGGAGCTCTTAACTACGCAATTAAATCGAATTTCTAATCATAATTAAGAACTTGGTATAATGAATTATGATTGGAAATTCCGATGAGAGACAGAAAGATTTTGAGGAAGTAGCATGGATCTGGTTCCGCTATCTTAAGTACTCGTGGCATTTTCACACATGTATATCCTTTATATAACATATTATTAAAGTATCTGATTGTCCTCATTTTAATGTGTATTAAGAGCAAAATAAAACAAAATAAATTAAAATTTGTAATCAAATAAATTGTAGAGTAGGGTATAAATTTTTCAACTATTTTTATCTCACTATACACAAAAGATAATTTAAGAATTATTATATACTTATTTCACTCGATAGTCATTTTCAAAAAAACATAATGACGAAAGATAAAACAAAAGAAACGGATATAGGTTACTTGGTAATATAGTAAAACTAGGCCGTACTACGCGCGTGAGTTTTTTTGGTCTGTTTTTATTTCATTACAGCATTTACCAATCATTGGTAACGTTTGCGAAATTCACAATTATTAGGTACTAATTACACAGGAAATTGTGTATTATAATTAGGAATTTATTAGAATTATTATCGAACGATTCATTAATGGAGTCAAGGAATTCAAATTGTAATCGTTTAATTATTTAAATTTTGGAAAAGGCTCGCTAGTTGTTGAGGTTTTTTATCCTTTTTGAGGTGGAATTCCTTAATCAATATTAAAGATAAGAAGTATGTACCTTAATGATCGTACATGTAAGTTGTGTTATTAAAAATTTTCAGTTAAATAACCTTTTTAAGTAAATTAGGTCAAAAATAAATGATTTACTAGTCGTCATGATGTCTTTGTCCAGAGACAAGAAAAAACATAAAAGATAGAACATTTTGTAGCCTAAAATCCTATTTCATCAGGCCTTTTGATGTTAGAGGCCAAACGTATATTTACTTTAAATTACTTCATGATGTCCTGAGGAACATGGTGTAATGATTGCAGTTCCTTCAAACAACAACAGTGGCGAAGACTTTCTAGCCAGTTTCTTCTCGTCCATTACGCTGCGTTTTGAGAACTATCAGAAAATATAAATAAGTAGAATGATTACCGTACTCATGCATTATGTACGGTAATCATTCATATGACAAGATCGCTGACACGCTCGAGAATGTATGGTCATTTACTTACTTATTGCTGAAACCTAAAAGCGGATCGTGTCGCGGGTCTGTGATTGGACTAGAGCTTTTAACCAATCACAATCAAACGAAACCAACATTGCGTTTAATTTTTAAACTCTAAACCTTAATTCTCTTATTATAATTATGTAATAACAAACGTATATACGATAATTTTCGTAGTGATATTAAACATCTCCAATTTAAATACAGTGGAATCTCTGTTCGAAAAAAATTGCCATTCCCTTCCTTTGAACCGCTAAATACGCGATTATCTCGAATTATCTAGACTCGAACAAAATGATATTTTCCTACGAAGTATTGACAATACATATTTGTACTCTATAACTCGAATTTTAAAAAGGAGACTCCGTAATGTCGTCTTACTTTGAATTCCCCGAAATAATAGCAATAAAATCCAAAATCGAAGCTTCTAATCTATTGCTTTTGTTTTGTACACGTGCAATAAATGAATAAAGCTTTCTAAGCAACAGCTGTGAACGGTATGTCAAAATATCTGCAAATATTTAAAATCTAAAAAAGATAACGGTTTCTAGATGTACAGTTTACTTCATTAATTTTTAATTCGTTTTAATTTGTAAAAAAATACTACAAAACTTAAGTTGAATTGTTATTCATTTCGACTAAACAAATCGAAAAATACATTTAGAAATCGCGCTGTTTAAGTCGAAATTTCAGCAGTTAAATGATATGTATCTAGAAAAGAACATACTAATAATACTATATATACTGAAAAGTTGCTTTAACAAAGATCACAGCTACATTTAAAACGGTATATTTAAACTGAGCCTTCTCCGTATCTCGGAAATTACAAAATACAACCCTTTCTATACAATTGTTTGCAATTAGATTATTTTATAACATCGACCTTCGAAGTCTGCGTTTTAATTGATGAAGCCTTTTACTCTTAGGGTGAGAATCAGAAACGAAACTTGGCGAACTCCGACTAGCTCAGGGGCCGTTCGAGTATTACGAAAGCACTGTAGGGGAATGAGGCGATGATATTTGTGTCTTATTTAGTGATTACGTCATCAGTAATTATTAACACACTTATTACCCACACATTGTCTATGATTAAAAACGAAATGCATTTTCGAGGATTCCTACAAAAATATTATATGTATGTATTATTTTAAGTGATTTGCTGACTATTGCTGACAAGAGGAAGGGGAGAGGATAAATTCCAGTAAATTTGCTTACGTAATACTTGATCGGCCCCTTATGACAAAATCAAATACTATCTTGATGTACGATAGTCTTCTAATCTATCCGAGTTACATCAAAACCTATTTATAGAAGTTTCGACTTAAAGCCCTTTTTTTACTTTAGTATTGGCATTCTACTACACTCCAATCACTTGTATGCCCAAAAAGGCCCATGGTCAACGGTGTTACACAAGCCTTTAGAAACTTTGAACTAAGTCGATACATACCAGTTCTTTCGATAAAAGCGCAGAAAATGCGTCGCGTACTTCATACATTACATCCTATTACGCTAAGTAGGCTTAAAAATAATCAAGATAATATAAATCAACAAACCCGTACTCGTAGGAAACTATTGAGTAATTCAGTATCTAAAGGTCAGATTGTACTTTAATCAAATTGTGGTTTTTTGACCCACGAACGCGAATCGATAACATTACAACGTAATATGATGAAATTGCTTTACAATATTATTCACCTTGATTAATCAAAGATTTGAGAATTAAATTGATGGCTGGTAGCTAATCAAACAAACGCTAGTCTCTACACTAGGGACATCCTAGTGCTGTGGTACCAGATACTCTTCCGTTTCTCATCGTTATTGCTTATTGAATAGAAACACCAATTTGTGCACAGCCGGCGATTGAACGTACGACCATTAGCACGCTTAACCACTAAGCTCCTAAGGTGAGATTCAGAAACGAGACTGAGCGCGGTCATTGACTCCCAAAGTCAAAGTCGAATATATATTTGACGTACAGTCGAATAATTATCGCTTTATTTGCTCCCAGAAATACTAGATTGTTTAAGTCACGAAAATATCCGTATTCATACATACTAATACATTCAAATTGATAAAAACCTTTTTTTAACGCATTACTATTCGTATTGTCTACTCTAGTTTTTAACTGTAAAGACGCGGTTTCTATTGACTGACAGATAAGGTTTAAAGTTGACGGTCCTAGATTTCTGGGGTTATATTTTAATTAATCATAATCAGAAATATATGAAATATTATATTGACTTAAAACTTGGCAATAACATATCCACATAATAGAATGAAGGGAAGTAATATGTTTTCTCCTAGCGTTTAGAATGAATAAAAACCATACAAAATAACGAGATTAAATTACGCTTTAATAAACATTAAAATTGTGAATTGATTAAATATTTAATATACCGTTGTTACTAGAAAAATATTTGTGTTATTTATTTGAACATAATAAGTTCTTGAAAATATTAAAATAAAATTTGTTAAAATGGTAGGGTAAATTAGAATGTTAATAGTTTTACGTAATTTTCAATATTTGTGTGAACTGAAGCACATTTACGAATAATCGGTTAACTGAAGTTGATTACATAATTAAAATAACAGGAATAGTTCACATAAGTTATCAGTTGCTCTACTTAGAACGGATTAAATAAATTGTTTTAATTAAATATTTCTAGTTTGGTTTAATGATATGTCAGATTTCCGACTACAGCCTCGATGGCTTAGAGGCCCGTGTACAACCCGGGAATCCTGCAGTCAATGTGAAACAACACATACCCCATACAATGTAACTAAATGAAACAGCTACAGAAATGTTTTCTACACTCAAGTTACAAGATTTCAATTAATTATGCATGGACGCGACAGAAAAATACAGTAATTTTACTGAATAAGTTACCTTTCCATACTGTGACCCTGCGTCCAATATAGCCACTTTGTCCCGTCCAAGTGCTGCTCCATTCGTCCCTCTGTACTGACCATCAGCGCCCGCCGTGTGCATTTCGCCAACTCGCCCGCAGCACTGAGCGTATAAGTAAACAACGCGTTAATATTATACACCAATTTGTTTGAATACATAGGGTTCGAGCTAATATACATTTATAATATCAGGCGACCTGTTAATTTCTTGATGAAAAAGATCCAATAACAACACTAATTACGAGATGAAATGGTCTAAACAAGTTATAATAAATTAATGTACACACAGTGGAAGAGAGGTAGTGTAAGCACACAGAATTTTATATTCCCTCTACAGTTATTGTTAGAAAAGAATCCTTTAAATTGTATCTTTAGATCCAATCAAGTTTAACAAAGAATTCAAAATGTAAAAGGTATATACATATATGTAACTTGTTAATTAGACTTTTTTGTCCTAGTTCTAACATAAATTTCTTAACTTGCTAGTGATCCAGTTATATTTGGTTACATATAGTTTTACATAATCATGTAATACATGCATACATACATACATACATACAATACATTTTACATAATATAATGTTCAAACAGTAAAATGCAGAAAACAATAATTTTTGTTTACGCTTTACTTGAGCTAGGACTTTTTTATAAAAGAATCAGATTACTAAACATATCAATAACTTAAAGGCAGGCAGGCAGCATATGTAAAAAAGTTTTTATACCAGAAACTAAACTACTATAGTATTTATTAAATGATTTGTCTAATATAATTGGATAGCAGATAGCACAATATTAACATTGAACTTGCACATCCAATAATTTTAGTAGTCTTTTCAATCAATTTTAATACCACTGACAATGCATTTTCCCTCCACAAATAAACAAAGAACACTTTTAGAAATGTCAAATTTAAAGTAATATAAAAGAATGTGATATACAGACCAATATACACAAAGGGCAATAAACAACTGATCAAACATTAAACAAACCTTACTGAAGAGTTTTTTAAATCCAAACATAACACATAAATATTACACATAACATTTTCACTCATTCAAGTCTTTGTTAACAATATACACATAGTTTATTTAGCTTCAAACAGTACCGTGCACATTTGTGTCGACACTGTAAGTGGTTATTTTTAGAGCATCCCACATGATTCGTGTAAATCTATAAACATAATCCACAATGACATAGCATAGTTTAGAAGTCTTCTCTTATGTATTGTTTTGTAACTAGTGGTTGACATTATGTACAGTACTAATATTATCTTTATTTCTCTATTCATTAAGTACAAATATTATTTATGTGACTATTAAAATTTTTTTGTTACAGTTAAATTTGCAAATGTTATTCTTATGTGCACATCATGTATTTTAAGATAAATTTGTTGAGATTAATGAAAGAAGATCTGAAGTAAAACAAGATAGTATAGACATTATTAACAAGAACAAAACAGCTGTAGATTACAATGTTAAGGTTATTTATTGCCGTCAAACTAAAAATTTTAGGGACATCCTTCATCCATCCTTGTATTCATGAGTTTAAGAATATTTATAAATTTGCAGTTAGATAAAAAATATGTTATATAAACAAGATACAGATTAAATCTGTACATGTTTGAAAGATTTGAGAAAAGATGTGTCAAATGACAATGAAATTATATATCAAGATGACTCAAGTTATGGTTCAATATCTGGGAGGTCAGATTATCATTAGTAACCTAGATAATATTGGACTGAATTAACCTTGGTTTTTAAGAAATTATACCACTGTTAAAAACACAATCAAAGCATAATGAAGATGTATTTCTCATCATTACATACCTCATTTCGTAGGAGGTTAAAACTAAAACAATGGATAACAAACCTTTCTAAATAAACAAAACATAGTTGGTGCACATTTGAGAATTCTAATAAATTTTCATCTAATAATAAAAAATGCGATGATGGACATCGGTTGATAACGAAAAATGATAACATTGAGATAATTTTCAACATTTCTAAAAGAGAAGTCAGTCTAAACTGCAAGTTGAAAGACACTTGACATTGTGGTATACACGAAACAAAGTTTGAAGCAGTGTTATTGTAATAGTAGAATACTCGAAAATATAATTTCATACCATTCAATTCTCGTTGACCAATTAAAACAAACGACATGTAGAAACGAAAAAGAAAACGTGAGTAAAACCGGGACCTGACATTACCAACATTTTGGGTCAAGATAAAAGTCTATTTTCAGGTCACTTTAGAATATCCCTCGCTGTGACGCTATATTATTAATATATTATACTCTCACCTAATAATAATATTCAATATTTCAGGAATATATATTCATGGAAAACACGAATAAATGTGGTTCTCCATTCAGCACTACGAATACAAAATTATAGTACTGAAATGAAACTCAAGTGGCGCCACTCGCCAGTATCTATAGCCTTAGTTAATTGTCATGACGTTCGCTAATCATCTTATTATCCTCTACCAACCATTTAATATTTGTATAAAATATGTAAATTATTTGAGGATATTACAGTTTCTGTTGTATTTTCTCGGGAATTAAAATGTACATTTGTATAAAGTAGTTAGTTTTAATTATAAGCTAAATTATATAGATTGTATAAAAATTGTTATCAATATGAAGTTGGTGATTTATAGTCTATGCTTGCAGTGACTTGTAAATAATTTGACACTTGTTACAGAATTACTGAATATTTTTAATTTGTAGGTTTGAGAGTGAATGAATTTCACAAAAGATTAAACAATAGTTCATAAATATAAATAAGAACATTTTTTAGCAGAACCAAAATGCCGGACCATTTAGGTAATGATATGCGAAAGATCAAAGATGACAAAGAAGAACCAGAAAAGGAGATAAAATGTAAGTTTTTATTACGATGGTAGACTTCTTTTTCAATAAATTTACTACTAAAACTATATATTATCGCATATTAATCTGACTAATTTTCTTTTAGCGCTCGATGAAGGGGATATCGCATTATTAAAGTCCTATGTAAGTAGAACTATTAAGATCCTAAGATCGTGCTTGGATTCTAAGTTTGCAATAGCTGTTTAGTCACAGGGTTAAACCATAAACTACCTTTTTGTTTAGGGACAAGGTCAGTACACAAAAATTATCAAAGAAGTAGAAGACGGTATTCAAACAGTAATGAAAAGGGTAAATGAACTTACTGGTATAAAGGAGTCAGATACAGGATTGGCACCACCAGCTCTTTGGGATTTGGCTGCAGATAAACAAACATTACAAAATGAGCAACCTTTGCAGGTATGGATGGATTTTAAGAAATAAAGTATATGTTTTTTATTAACATTGTCAATATAGTATTTATTTCAACTTCATCTAAGATGATTTATTTATAAAATTTGTAGGTAGCAAGATGTACAAAGATTATTAATGCAGACTCCAATGATCCTAAATACATAATTAATGTAAAGCAGTTTGCAAAGTTTGTAGTTGATCTGGCTGATTCTGTAGCTCCTACTGATATTGAAGAAGGAATGCGTGTTGGGTAAGTAGGATTTTTATGAATATTAGATACAAAATTTCTTAGCTTTCATTTTGCTTAAATTATTATGTTAGTAGTGATTTGAATGACAAGCAATAAATGCAGTTGTTTAGATTTTTAAGTATATTATTGTTCTGCTGGACAATAGGAATTCTGAAGTCCCTTTTAGACTTTATTGTAGTATGGAGTCCAGAAAAAGTTCAACTGCATAAGTGAGCAGTTTAACATTCATGCTCCTAAATTATAGTTCATACTTTCAGCTTACCACTTAAGATATGGTGTTTGAGTTATTTTATGAACAACAGTACACACTACTCTCTATAGTCCAGAGTAAGACATATGACTGCTGACACAATAAATAATATATATTACTAGCCGGCCCTGTGAACTTCGTTTCTCCCTAATGTGTTTAAGCCTAACTTCTTAGTACATACCAACATGGAACATTTGCTATGAATACCAGAGAATGTTCAGTTTCCTGGAATGTAAACTTTTTAGGTTTTACTGTGAATTTTACTCTTTATAAACCTCGAAGTTCAAGTCATAAGTTTTAATTAACAAATGAAAAAAGGGGTTGATCGAAGAGGGGTGAAAGTTAGGGTTGTACATATTTATTAAGCCACATAAAAAAAGAATATAAAATAAAAAAATTGGGGTGGACACTTAGATAGTAGCCGATTCTCAGACTTACTGAATATGCAAAAAAATTTCACAAGAATCGGTCAAGCCGTTTCTGAGGAGAATGGGAACAAACATTGCGACACGAGAATTTTATTATATTAGATAAATACCCATTAAAACTATATATTTTGAATATAACAAAAGGACAATAATCAAATATTTACCATTGTATTCTAATGTAAATGAATATTTCATCTTTAGTGTGGATCGCAATAAATATCAGATTCATATACCGCTGCCACCAAAAATAGACCCGACAGTCACCATGATGCAGGTTGAAGAAAAGCCAGATGTCACATACAGTGATGTTGGAGGTTGTAAGGAACAAATTGAGAAACTTCGAGAAGTAGTTGAAACTCCACTTTTACATGTAAGTTTTTGCTTCATTCCATTTTTTTATGTAGGTCAACAGATGTTCTTACTTACTCAAAAGAGTATACTTCCGTACAAATAGACATAATTTTGTTCACCAAAGAGATAAAAAATAATAATAAATGGTGAGTTACAATGGTATTTTTCAAATGATTGATTGGCAACTATATTAAACCTAAAGTTTTCAATATAAAGTAAAAAAGCAATTAACTTAAATTTTGATGATATATTTGGTTTAGATAAAAACAAATGAGTAAAAATTTATCACACTCTTTTAAAAATCTCTCGAGTTACAATAATGCTATATTCTAAGCGTCCTACGGTTAAAAAATATGGAATATTAAAAAAATTACAAAAATCCGGGTTATATATATTTTTATTTTCTTTTTCAGCCAGAGAAGTTTGTTAAGCTGGGTATTGAGCCACCAAAGGGTGTACTGCTATTCGGTCCGCCTGGTACAGGAAAGACGCTATGTGCTCGGGCTGTAGCTAACCGAACTGATGCTTGCTTTATTAGAGTTATTGGTAAGTTTTGTATACCACACTACTTATAAGAATATTACACATGAGATTGTGTTTGTTGACATGGTTACAACGGTTTTACTATGTAATGAGTAGAACATAGTAACAAAAAGTACCTACCTTTAAACCATTGATAACACCTATTTTGTTTAATGACTAACGGCACATCCCGGCTTCGCACGGTGGCCATTTATTTTTTAAACATTTTTTGTATGTTCTCTAATTAAAATAGTTTTCGCAGTGCATGCGATGAAATATATTTTATAGGTATTTTTTTACACATTAGGTTTTAAGATTATTGTAGTTTTAGTAGGGTTAAAATCGGTCCAGTACTTTTTGAGCCAATTTGTTACAAACATACTTACATACAAATCTTCCTGTTTATAATAATAGTATAGATTACTCGATCTTAGAACATAAAAAGCTGCATATATTCATTTGTATGTCATGTTATTTTTTTTAAATATTTATTAAGGAAATATTTCAGTTGGCCATTAATTTGTCTAAATTCATGTTGATACAGATTTAAATATATACATTTGTGATAATTGAATTATGGAGAGTAAAGAAAGAATACTTGTACATAAGCTTAGACAGTATTCTGATACAGCTCTCCAAAATTAAATCATATTGAACAACCTTGAAGATTTAAGTTTACCCTCAAGGCTACACAATATGTAACAAGTCAAATCAGAAATGTTAACTATGCCATAAAAAGCCATATGCCCTATGTATATTTTTATTTCTTGTTCTGCTTTGAAGATCAAAACGGTTCCCAGCAAAACAAATTGAGAAAAAATTAAAATCAATATTGGATAGGCTTCATACAAAAGTGGCAAATCATGTTCATTGCTTATGTTCATAACTAAATTCTGTTGTACTGATAAATTTGTATTTCATATTTTCTTGCATTTCTTTGCATGCTTAATGCATTGTTTCAGAACTTATAAATAAGTAAAACACTATTTACTTCAAAATCTATGATCCATTATATTTCTTAGTATAAAATTAAATTAAATAAAATAGATATAAAAAAAAAATTGGAATTTAATATAACAATGACTTAATCGAAAAGCATTTAAAGTATACCAACATTATATAAAAAATGTTTTACAGGATCTGAATTGGTTCAAAAATATGTTGGTGAAGGAGCTCGTATGGTGAGAGAGTTGTTTGAGATGGCTCGTAGCAAGAAAGCCTGCCTCATCTTCTTTGATGAAATCGACGCTATCGGAGGTGCTAGGTATGGTGATGATGAATTGCTTTTCTCTAAATTATTTACGAAATAATAGTCATTTACTAAAATTATTTTTAAATATTAATTAATATTTATTAAATAGTAATATTTGTGAACATTGTGTCTAGGGAAGCGTTCAAGTATTACGTCACGCAATTTTTGGAGATTATTTAAACCCAAAAAAACATTACGGCGCGTTTACATGGGGGGGGGGGGGCATGTAAACGCGCCGTAATGTTTTTCTGTACAGTACTGTACCCAAGTACAGTAAAACGTTTCTTGACGTTCTAGTGACTCTTTATACTTAAAAGTTACCAAATATGTGGTGCAAAGTACTGGAAAGTCGAAAATAGTATTAACAATAACGCGTAATTCAATTCCCGCCCTGCATCGTAACGCTTTACAAAAGTAAACCCCCCCAAAATTCGCTAAGTAATACTTGAACGCTCCCTAGAACAGAAATGTTGAAATGTAAAAAAAAAAAATATCCCAAAAACTATCGTAACTACTTTGAGAAACTACTTAATTTTGATTACTGTCTACATTGGAAATACATATTTATATATATATGTATACTATTAGAATGTCTAATAATAATACATAGTTTATGTACAAGAATATGGTACAAAAATGTTATTGTGGTACAATCTAAAGTTCGCATGTTCTGCCACACATAATGGCGTGCAAATTTGTTTTAAAAGGTTTGTTACATTTTGTTACATAGAAGTTGTATACATTATACATTTATATTATTTTATCACTACATATTCACATTATTAAAATATATTATGACGTTATCACATTAATAGTAATGTTTTACTCAAATAATCATTAATGATAAAAAAAATCCAAGACCAAATTAAAACATTTTCATTTTTATATTACGATAATTTAATTTATTGGATAGGAGAGTAAAGAAAGGGTACCCCGTGTAAGCTAAACTGGTGTTCTGATACAGCTCTCCGATATAAAACACAACTAACAACTTTATTGGTTCCATTACCAATGAGGCTACCAGTTGTGGTACAGTTTATTCGTTGGATTAGAACACTTAAATAATTAAGAGGGCAACGGGTAGTCTTATTGCTTCCACGCGAAAGAAACAACAGACATATTCACGTCATACTTTTTAAACATGCAGCTGATTAGCCTTCTAAATCTACCAACCCTGTTTCTATAACCAATATTTTAATTCTTTAAATAAAATGCTAGTGTGTTTGACAGCCTTTATAGAAATCTCTAGTCACTGGTTTTAGTGAACATGGTTGTAAAGAAGTATAAAAAGTAGACCTAGGCAAAAACACGATATTTTTAATGTATTATTAAAAAAAAACAGTTTAGTTCTACTGTAATCTAGCCTATTTAAGCTAATAAACAGTTATAAACGTTTGTTTTTTAATGCCCACTCAGTGCTCACGCTAACTTTCTAGTGCCTTTAAAATACTACTTTATAAAACGTTTCACTATAATCCGCCCTACACTTATAGTTGCTCAAACTACACCAGTTCAAAAGCCTTGGTACTTTTGACACTATGCACTAGCCCTAGTGTCGGGGAACTGCGGGGCATCGATCGTTATTAAATTCTTCGTCGACGCTTTCTTTATTTAAGTACCAGTTTAGGATGTCGAAATTGCAGGCGTATCAAAGAGTATTAAGCCACTTTGCTTAGTAGGTTCAATTCGCGGTAAAACTATGTAATCCGGAATGCTCTATAATACAATAAATGTCTGTCTGGTTTATAGAAATTTAAACTGTAATTAGGTTTGACGATGGTGCCGGCGGTGACAACGAAGTTCAGAGAACTATGTTGGAGCTGATCAACCAGCTGGATGGTTTTGACCCACGTGGTAACATCAAAGTACGTATTACCCCCCTTATGATAATCAAAGCTATTGCGCTATTGTGAATAAAGTAGTCTTGTCATGAAGCATGGTAAGGAAGCCGTATTAAACCTAAATTTTACGTAAAACATTAAAGAAAAAGACGTATAAAATGTGTGATACATGTCCAGACAATTTCAAAATTTCCTTCCTTAAAAAATGTTCAAAAATTGTCGGAAAGGATTTGCTTGTATTACCGACGAATAAGACTTATTGATGCGTGATAATTGTTCCCTCCTAAAAAAAACTATTCTAACATTCCGTCACCACGAAAAGCTTAGCCAAGTTACGGGCTATATTTGACGGGAAATGAAATGTAATTTTTAATACTTATTCTATAAATAGCTAATGGGGGCCTTATTTTGACATATAAATACATTTTGACACGCTTTTAAAAATGGGGGGGTTTAGTTGTAGAAGGGTGAATATTAAAGGTTAACCTTGTATGTCAAAAAAATATTTATTTTTTATTCTTTGACTCTTATATCATTTAACTGGTATAATCTAATGAAGTAAGGCATTGGTTAATAACACAAATAAGTCTTTTTTACCATCGAAAACTGTGGACAACAGCACATAATAATATTTTAACGTTCATTGACGATATGTAGTTTATTATTCCAAATCATTAGAGTATTTAAAAAATTGTGCATGTGGGTCTGGGCACTTAATCACTTAGTGCAACCTTTACTCACACCAGTGGCGTAACTATACCATCTGGGGCCCGTGGAAAATTCTTTTGATTAGTAAAAATCGACACGTTCTACTCAGTTTAATTTTAATAAACTTCGAGATTTTCAGCGTACTCAATTACACGTTGTATATGTCCCACTTATGGTCATAGGCCTCCTCTCTTAGGCGAGAAGGAATGGTCTGTAGTCCTCACGCTAGCCCAATGCGTATTGGAGACTTCACATTCATCCATAGAACATAATATCTCTTCATCAGGGGCCCATGGCATTTTGCCAGCCCTGCCACCCTTTTGTTACGCCACTGACTCAGACGTACCGGATAACCATAAAAAAATTAATAAAATTCGGTTATTGTATATATGATTTTTACAGGTGTTAATGGCCACGAACCGTCCAGATACGCTAGACCCAGCCTTAATGCGTCCCGGGCGTTTAGATCGTAAAGTGGAGTTTGGTCTGCCAGATCTTGAAGGCAGAGCGCACATCTTCCGAATTCACGCACGTTCTATGAGCGTTGAACGTGATATTCGATTCGATTTATTGGCGAGACTCTGTCCCAACTCCACGGGCGCTGAGATTCGGTGAGTTTAAGACTAAAATGTAGAAAACCTTAAAGACAACTTTGGTTTTTGAAGTAACACTTCTTTTGGCGCGTTAGGGAAAAATTATGAGAGTAAATTATTACGATGCGCGCACACCGTCACAAAAAACCGACACCCTGAAGTTAGCATAGTCAACATTTTAAAATAAAAAATGTCCATTCCTTTAATTAAGTAGATTTTTTTTTTAAATATTTAAATAAACTTTATTTAATGCGTTATAATAAAACTTTCTATATATAATATAATAAAATGTATTAAATACCTTTTTTCTATTGTTAGTGTCGTTTTTTCTACAAACGTAGAATAAAGCGAAAGATTTTTTTTTTAAATATTAAACGTGAAAAAAAACGAATTTCTAGAATCTATGGGTAAGATTCTGAAACGTTACTTAGACCTGTCTTCCGTATGTAAACGACGTATTATATTTTCATCATCTTAAGTTTCTACTACGATTTATACTATATTTAACAAAAGCATTAATTTGTTTTGTTACGAAAATAAATTTGTTGTGGTAACTAAAGTCTAAAGAGTTTGCTTCGTCATTTTATTTATTCACAAAGATTATATATTTTTAATATTTTCATAATACCATACTGTCGAATTATAATGACGTAATAGCGGCCTCAACTCTCACTACGGTTCTCTTTCTAGATACTGAAGGTGTTGACTATGATTGTAGAAGTCATTATTCTTCTGACGTTATTGATGTATCACGTGACGCTCTATCTGTGTCTATGCTATTATTTTTTTATGGTACATAAATCTAAATTATGTTCACAGGTCGGTGTGCACTGAAGCTGGAATGTTCGCGATTCGGGCTCGTCGTAAGGTCGCGACCGAGAAAGACTTCCTCGAGGCTGTCAATAAGGTTATCAAGAGTTACGCCAAGTTCTCGGCAACACCTCGCTACATGACCTACAATTAATATTATTATTAAAATTAAATATACCATTTCGATGTATTGTGTCTTTTATTATATTGTTTTATTGTTAAGACAATATAAATTACTAAAGAGTACAAAAACACCAAAAAACTTTAATTTTGGTTTAAACTTGGGCACTAAGAACACATTACTTAAAAAATTAATGGATACAATAAAATGTGTGAAAACATTAAATTTAAACTGTGTGCTAGTTTCAAATGCTGTCGGCAGGTCGGCTCATTGGTCTAGTGGTTATTACCCCTGACTGCGAATCCATGGGTCCCGGGTTCGATCCCCGGCTGAGACAAACGTCGATGTGATGAGCATTTGGTATTGTGCTTAGGTCTTGGGTGTTTAAATATGTATGTATATGTCTATCTATCTATAATACAGTCAAAACCGGTTATAACGACATTGAAGGGACCGTATAGTTGCCGACGTTATATCCGATAGTCGTTATAAGCAATATCATATACACAAGTACAGTACATATGTATGTACATAGTTATATTATCGTAGTTATCGATCTAGAATAGGTAGGTATGGGTTATAATATGGTATGGTAATATTATAATATGTAAAGGAGTCAAAAAAGAAATAAAAATATTTATTACGAAATAATTAGGTAGGTACAAAAGTAATCAGTCATTTTGGTCTGGTTTTTTAGCCCAGTCTCAAATATTTTTTGCATTTTACGTTTCATAGTCCTCAATGAGTATCACCAGTATAAAACTGTTAGTTAAAGGCAACAAAATTTTTTAAGAGCCTCGGAAGTCGGAAATCGTTGTTGGCTGAAACTGTTCGTTGGGAGAAAGTGCGTAGGTAATAATATGCCTAAATATTCATTCAATGCTTATAAATAAGATTTAAAAATCGTTTGTATTGTTTAGTTTTGCTGAGACAAGAAGCGGTTGGTCGTTATAGCCGATTAATATCGATAAAATTTCGTCGTTGTAAGCGATATGTCGCTGTATCCGATGTTGTTATAAGCGGTTTGTTTACTGAATAGTTTAATAGGGATTCGGACGGGACTATAGAATCTGGTTGTAATAACCGATAGGTCGTTGTAAACGATGTCGTTATAAACGGTTTTGACTGTATGTATGTATATCCGTTGCCTAGTACCCATAACACAAGCTTCACCAGCTTAGCATGGGACTAGGTCAATTGGTGTGAATTGTCCAATCATATTTAAAAAAAATATTATTATTAAAAAAAAAACCATTTTACATAATTGGCGACATGCTGTACATTTTTTGCTCACTTACAAAATAAATGGTGCCTGGGTCATCGAGGTGCTAAAAATAATAGAGGATTTTAGTTTTACTTTATATTAACCACTCGCGTACAACAATAGAATATAAGCGATATAATGAAAGGTTAATTGCTATGAAACGAATGAATGCAAAGTAAGAGTTGAATAGAGTATTTGCACTCTCATCAGACGTAGGCGTCTGGCTATTCTCTCGTGGCGTAACCCCGACGATTTAGGAAATGGCCACGCTTATAGAACTAAGAAAGCCTGAGTTAGCAAAATGTACAGCCTTGGCTCATACTCATGCAATACAGCAATTCTCCTATTGGCTATTATATAGAGTTTAGAAATTGGAGTATAAAAAGACTAGTGTGATAAACATAATTATGCTGTATGAGGACGATTGAATAGATGAAGTATAAACATTCATACTTAGATTTTGCTTGTGTAAAATAAAAATAGGCTAAAATTTATGAACCGTACTTAGACTTAGCACAGTTTTACTCCAAAAAGACGAGTTCTTCTGTGTAATCCGGATCCAAATTGATAGACTTGGAATAAAAATTTACTTACTGTAAGCAAGAAGTGGTACCTACAAATTGTTACGCTTTCATTTGCATCATTTTATTTGTAATTTAAGTTTAATTACAAATAAAATTTAATAAGCGGCGAGCATCAATCTTATAGTTATTTATGGTATAATATAATTACGTACCTACTCTCTCTACCAAAATAATATTTCATCCACACAGAATACAGTGAGGGTAGTACAGCAATATTACAAAAAATAATTGCGACTAAAGTTGTCGCCATTTTAGTAACTCGTGCGATTTTGTTGTGATATAAAAAGTGTTGATTATTAATTGTTAAACAATGTCTCTTACGGTATGTATTTCAAGTTCGTTTCAATTAAAAGAAAATTCATGGTAAACAAGATAATATGATCAAATCTATTGGTTATATTGTAAAGATATAGTCCAAAATATTAAACTAAATTATATTTCATGCTTTTGATTTTTACAAGGATAAAGCAACCTTAAAATCAAAAACTTAAGTACTTTCGCGATAAAATATTAAAATAGTCATGCATTTGTTTAAGTTTTTGTTATGTACACGAACAAGTATGCTATTAATTTATCCTTTGTAACATTGTTCGGTGTTTGCAATATTAGACTCGGCCAAGCATTGCTGTGACTAAGATTTTTGTTATATTACATAGTAGTAAACTATTCCAGGGAGAACACCAGTCATGGGGACAACCATGCTTTTTTGGTGGTTATGCCATTAAATTGTAGCTTATATGAAACGTTGGTACTTTCAACACAGCGCTATCTGTTAGATTTGTGAGAGTCAAATAATAAACAAATAATTTGCAATAAAATAATATTGCGGGTATAAATTGAGATCTCAGCTATCCTATCTTTTAAATTAGATCAAACCGCACACGATGTGCAAATTTGATTGAAATCGGTTCATTAGTTTAGGCGTCCATAGCGGACAGACAACGTGACACGTAATTTATATATATTAAGATTATAGCTAATTAGGTGTCTACGTCCTATTGTATTACTTAATTTGATTCTCAGCACAATTTTTAGATGATATGTCCTTGTTAACGCTTTTATAATATTATATTATAGGACAGTTTTATGGATGTAGTGGAACTATGCACACTTTTGCAGTGTTTGGGATTCAATGTCAAATCATTGGAGACCAGGGATGTTAATATGAGTCAAGATAGTTCCACGCGCAATGTTGTAATAACTTGCCAGGTATGTTGTTATCATTATCAGAAGAACCCCCACAATAGATATTTCGGAAAGAAATGTTTTAAATTCAGACTAGTAAAATCTAGTAAACAACTTTTTATTTGATAAATTTCTATATGTTTTTTAAATACTAAAAGAGTCTCACAATAAATTATTGATTGAAAAACTCAACAGTTTTTTATTTGGAAAATAATTTGGGGCCAGGGGCCTCCATGAAGCCTCCAGACCTCTAAATCCGGCATTGATAATAGATTTTGTTGTGGTTTGAATGAAATTTAATACATGCTGAAACATTTACTTGGTAATTGAATAGTTTTTGGTCTATGTGTTCTCGAGTTTAATCATTTTTAATGTAATTTCCAGTCTTCTGGACTCCACGTTATAATGGAAAGTTCAGAGTCGAGGTGTTCCTGCCCCCCGGATGCGAATAAAAACAACAGCGGCTTTTGGGAGGTATCGGGGGTTACAGGCGGGAAACAACATAATACGGTAAATACATATTAATCTTGTTCTAAACTGTAAAAGGTTTATAAAAATTATTCACTACATTATGTTCTGGAGTAGGTACTGTTCTCCCCTCGGTTTCCCGCGCTAATGAGCTTATTATTATAAATAGTGGCAACAATCCCTCTTTTATCGACACGACGACCGCTTCAATTTATAAATTTTTGGTTTATCACTGCGATATCTCGATGCTGTATGTGTACAGTAAATATCGACACGACGACCGCTTCAATTTATAAATTTTTGGTTTATCACTGCGATATCTCGATGCTGTATGTGTACAGTAAAGGTTTCTAACACAATCAATTTGTTAGAGATGTTAGATTGAAGGAACAGTAACACATTTCTTCCAGAATATTAATATCTAATTTTCATTTTTTTATAGAACAGGGGGCAAATGGGGGGTGACGTGATGCTAAGTTAAACCGCCGCCCGTAGACACTCTCAATGCCAGAGGGCTCGCGACTGCCAGAAAATATTTTCTCCGATTGTCTGCCTACCCACCCTGGCGACTTTCTAGCCTATTGTACCGAATAGAATAGGTATATTCAAAGAGAATTAAAGTAAATTACTTTAATTTTTGGTGTTCTTACTTGTATTATAAGTCATAAGAAATCGTGGACAGTTTGTAGACATAACACTTACAGGAGAACAATCTTATTTTTTTTTTGACAAATAGCAACTTCGATGTAGGTTGTTTATACAAATCACAATTTAATTATATTTATAATTTATTTATTTTATTCCATATCATTATTCTATCTTTACAGTAATTACTAATTCGATAGAACGACACAATATTTATACCCACACCAATTAACCTAGATAAAAAACATAAAAAAATATATATTTATATACTTACCTAAATCTTATAACTAATATATGAATAATATATATGAAGCAACTCTTGTGAACTCAGCCAGTGTACAAACAAATAGGTCTACCTTAACAGAAATTCTATTAATTATTATATGTACCTATTGCTCGCGTGAGTGGTGCTTCGCTGACCAAGTTGGAATGTGCGCGCGGTATTTCCAAAAGTTGAGACGATTTGTCTTGTTGTCCACGATTTCTTATGATATTAAAACATATACGGGTATAAGTACCTACGTTCAGCAGTTTTTGCGTACATCCATCTATCCACCATCAAATCACTAATATTTTCTCTTTATATTGGTATTTATTATATCCGTTTGTATACAATTTTAGTCACGGTAAAAACAAATTGTAGAAAGTTGTTAGATTTAGAAAATAGGTGTCCAACTTAGATAATAATGACATTATATTAATAATCATCTTACAACTGTATTTTCCTCTATTTTACAAAGCTATTTAATGATAACGTGAATTTGCAGGAAAGCGGAAGCGGCCTTCTAGGATATCTATCCAAAACACATCAGGAGCAAATATCAAAAGAATTGCAAAATATTATAAAATTCATCAAAGAGAACAAAACCAATGAAAAACCTATACAAGCCAATAGATCAGCTAGTATGTTGGAACTAAGTACGCCTGAGATAAGGTAATTTACTAACGTCAGGTACTCCTTTATCAAATTTAATGTAATTAATTAACTTTTTTAAGCGAGAATTTTACTATATACAGTGTAAACTCTGTATAATGTCCCTCAAAGTAACGACGAACTCCCTAAAGCGTCGAAATCTATTGGCTTTGGTTGGTTTAGCTTGTCTTCCATACAATGATACACTCTACATAGCATTACACCCATCCTCGATAACAACAATTAAATAATAAAAAGTACCTTTTATGTTGCCGAAATTATTTAAAACTGCGGAGCTGTATGTTGTTTTGTCGTTTTATTGTCCTAGCGAGAAATAAACTCGACTGTCGGTACACGTCATACGTACCGAACGTTCCAAGAAATCCGTATTTCTTTACAAATTGCGCATGCTTGCATGTGCTTTATCACGAAGATGCCGCTATATCGCAAGATATGAATTTAATAAGTAAAAAATATACAACCGAACTACTGGTACAGTACAAAAATAACAGACAACGCAATAGCCTTGAAAACGAATTGTTTTTTTTATGTAATTACTAACACTAGTCTGAAAAAATCTTTTTTTTTATGCACATTGCACAGTCCCTTCAGAGTCGTTATATAGAGTTTATACTGTATATGTATAATTTCCTTACAGGTTAAAATTAGAAGCAGACACACCGACACGTTACCGTTCTTTGGACACGTTGACAACTGTTGATGATTCGTCACCATCGTTCCCCATGCCGAGATCTTTTAAGGGTCAGGTAAGTTCAGAACCATGTAGTTCAGCGGCTTTTTCCCTATGCCTTAATCCCTTTTATAGTTTTATTTATTTTTATTTTATTTATTAACACTTCGTTGTATATACATAAATATAGTACAATTGACATAATTAAAAAAAAAAGGAAAGCAACTGGCGGCCTTATCGCTTTCGAGCGATCTCTTCCAGGCAACCACTGTGAGAAAAGGAAAGAAAAAAGTATTAAATTACATAAGGTAGGCAAGAAGTGCAAAAATACATGTATTACATATAGTTGTTGAGAATAAGAAACTAAACAGGAACAAAAAAACAAACTAATAAAGGACATATGAAAAAAAAAATTAATACCTAATAATAAAAAGTGCACATGTATCGCACAAGTTTTTGACATGACATGCGTGTTTGTCTTGAGCGCTGTCAGACGTCAAACATCAAACAGAATTGATTTAAGAGCTCTTGAAACCAGACTTAACTTTGATTGATGTTCTAGATTCTAGAATATAGATTCAAAGTTGAGAATTAGTGCTAATGCCTCGAAAGTCTTACTTATTAGTGTTACCGGAGTTCCCTAAGTTTCCAATCTGAAACTCCCTTAATAACATCTAATAGATACAATAAATAAATAGAATGTTTAAATTATTGTTGTTTCCTGTGGCATTTCCTCGCTGTATTGCGATATTTATTCGGTGAGCGAGCGACACCAATAGTATCTACCAGGCACCAACTTAAATCTTCAACTAGCGCCTGTGACGGTGTGTGAACTCCACGGCCCAAGAGTCTCTACTCCAAGGAAAAGTTGGGACCTTAATACCAACATTTGATGACATATTATAAACTGATCACCTATTTAGTAATAATCGTTAAAGAATCAGCTATAAAATACCTAGATTTTAATCTAATTTTAGCGTATCAGTTATAATGTGTATTTTTTAAATATTGACAAAGCTACTACGAAAGTTAGTTAATATTGTTGCATTATTAACGGGCTGCCAAGGAGGCTGTCGTCTTTTTAGAATGCATCATGTTTTGCTTAGTTACCTCTAAGATGCTCTTTAAATCTGGGCAGCTTGGTTAGTATAATTCTTACCGACAGAGTTCACTTTTAGCTCACTAATTAAAACATTCGAAATTGCTTAGAAATATTTTTTTTAATAATTTGCTTTGTTTACTAACCCATTGAAGCTGCTAGACTATATTTATTTATATTTTATTTTTGATTGATAATACTGAATCCTTTACTTAGATACCAAAGATCCTTGAAAGACAAAGGACGTATTCCGTGTCATCTACACCGGATAGTCTCCGTGGTTGGAACAAAACATCAAGGTAATTAGGAGTAGGTACTCAGTTGCCAGTAAAACGGTTGGTGTAACGATAAAATCAACGATATAATCATCGTTATCTATCACACTATCATAGGAACTAAATAATTTAAAGCTATGTTTTATTGTTAAACACTCCATGTTATGCTTATTATAACGAAATTATTAAACCTGATATTTGATAGATTATGTTTGAAGTCCCGCAACGCCCAAATGGACTGTTTAATATATCGGTTTCTGCGTCTGTTTCAATCATAGTCAAGACGATTGACAGCGGCCTCTAAAAATAAGTACTATGCCGTAAGAATTTTGTTTTGCCGAGATCGAACCAAGGAACTCTTACGTACAAAGCAACGCAGGCATTATATTTTTAACTAAATCTTAATATAAATTTTCTCCTGCGTTTTTTAGCCCTATTCAAGAGCCTCAAGCATCGAAATATATTTTAGAGAAGCTTATCTACGCTTCAAATTGTTGTGAAGAAACCCAAAAACACATTAAATATGTTATCCAAACATTGAGTGGAAAAACTAAAAACGATTCGTCTTGCCAGGAATTAGATGTTTCTAAGATACCTGTTTTTAAAGTGAGTACATTAGAACATATAACAAATCCTAATGGTTGTTCAGGTTTCTATAATGTCCCTTTCAGTAAAATATGCCTTGTATCTGATTATACAGACAAGGTTGAGGAGCCAATTCTTTTTAATTCAACTATGGAATGGTTTTATATTGTTTGGTCTGCAAATTTTTATTGCAGTGGCTAGATCCGCGACCTACATTTCTTGCGTTCAGATTACAGCGGTAACGCAATTAATTTTTCTTTCTATGTTCAATTGATACTATCTTGTACGAAGGAAAACATTGTAAGGAAACCGGCATGCCTAAGACCCGAAAATAGACGGCGTGTGTCAAAAGCACAGACCTGCCTTGCGATTCTGTAACTGACTTTTCGAACTCTCACAGCGGCGGTCGCGCTCAAATCAGTCGTCAGTCAGAATGCCAAATCGTAAAATGACTGCTTTACGACTGATTTGAGCGCGACCGCCGCTGTGAAAACAGCTGTGAGAGTTCGAAAAGTGAGTTACAGAATCGCAAGACTGATTACCTATTTACTAATTAAAGAAAATTAATAAGTAATACATGGAAATCTGTGACTAAACGAAGTTTTGTAAAGAGTATATGACTAAAATACACGAAAACCAGGAAAGCGATTCGGGCACACGTTATTTATTTATAAAAATATGGCTTTCTAGGTGGCAGATACACCAAAAACCCACTTCCTGTCATGCTCCAATATACCAGCATCAATAACACCAAGTGATGAGAAAGACAATCTAAAAAGAAGTGAATCGAGCACATCAACAATCGCCACAAAAGAGAAAACGTCTCGCCTACGCCGCCTCTCTCCTAGCCTTTTGAAGCTTAAAAAGGATAAGGATACCGCAACAAAAGAAGATAAGAAACCTAAAGAGAGTAAATTGACTAGTAAGTAGTTTATTTAACACATTCCTTAGTCCTTCAAAGCGAACAGTTCCTTGATATTTATAGTTCGATTTTAGTTTTGAGTTGATAGTATAGTGGAATCTTCTTTAACTCAAACTTAGTTAAGTCGAAAAAAAATGCCCTTCCGCTGAACTCCTAAATACGCGATAACTCGAATTATTTTGACTTTGTAACTCGAACAAAATGTTATTTCCCAACGAAGTATTGATAATACATATTTATACTCTATATAACACGAATTTTAAAACGAAGACTCGGCAAGTCGTGGTTAGTAAAATATAATGACGTCTTACTTGGAATTCCCCAAAATAATAGCATTAAAATCCAAAAGGATTGTTGGGATTCGGGGCTTCTATCTTTTGTTTTTGATTTTCACTCATGCAATGAATGAATATCTACATATATTTTTTAGAGAACAGTTTATGTAAAAAATATATATTATACAAAACTTAAGATGAATTATTGTTATTCAAATTCGACTCTACAAATAGAAAAATACACATAGAAGTCGAAATTTCAACAATTAAATCATATGTATCTCGAAGTTCTTGTTAAGTCGAGTTATCACATATTATAACAAGTTATCGATATTCTACTGTATTATCATAATTTAACTGAAAGACAAAATTTTTTGTATTTTTTAGGTTTATTCAAGCCAAAAAAAGTACTCCCACCGCCAAGTACATCGAAATCGAATTTAATGAGTCCAAATTTAAGTGCATCTAATAAAAAGTTCAGCCACATTAAATCAACAATACCGAAACCGTCTTCTGGAAAACCAAAAGATCAGAATCTTTAAATATTCTTCTGTGTAATTCATGTATGGTTAATAAATTTTTGAATTATATATTTTTGTTTTTCATTACGTTCTAGATGTTTCTGTATTACTGCCATCAAAGAGTAACTTTTCAACCGCTTTTTCGAGTTGATTATTCTGATTTGCTTTTTTATTTTTTTTAGATATAGATTCAGCTCTTTCTGAAATATCTTCTCTTTTATTTGATTTTAAAACCTTTTTGCTTCTCTTTAGCTGAACTGTGGCTGGGCACATAATGCTCTCTATCAAGTCGTCCTTCACGCTTCTTTTAATGATATCTCCATTGGTCTGGAACGCCTCGCGCCGTGTACTTTTATAAAGCTTTTCTTCGGTACCAAAATTATCATCATTACTTAATTCAGAGTTAGTATCAATATCGCTTTCATTATTTTTAAAACGACATCTTATTTCCCGCTCTTGACTTTTTGTTGTTAGATCTTTTAAAGTATATCGTTCACTTTTATTCTTTTTTCTTTCTTTTCTAGCAAGCTTTAGACATATAGTCGCTTTAGGATAGCCAGAAAATTGTTGATAACTTATGCCTTTTTCAAGAGATATAAAAGAATTCAAAAATCGTCTGGGATGAATATCCTCGGGTGTTTCGTTTAATAAATAATAGGTCTTTTTTAAAAAGGATTTTTTATCCAAAGGATTTTGTTTGTGAAAAAAGTTTTCTAATTGCTTGTATGTAGTCAGTCGTCTTATAGCGTTCTTTTGAATAATGTTATATGACACAACAGCCATCAAAATAAATGATGGCTCATTGCTCACAATGTGATCCCACAGTATTAGCCATTCAGAACATGTGAGAACTTCACTAAAAGCAGTCTCTAGGATTTTTAAAGCATAGATTTGACTTGTTATACCGAGTTCACAATAATGATCTAACAGTTGTTGGTCATGTTCTGCTAAAATATTCTCTATTATAGCCAAAATGCTAATAGGTGGAAAGGGCGCATACTCAAACCACAACTGACATTGGTTCATCAAAACTGTTGCAACACACTCAAATAACAATAGAGGATCCTTATGCAATACTTTAACAAATGGGAAAACAAAGCCTGGAAGAAATTTTAAGACCCCAAATAATGGACACCAATGAGCAAGACATGACAGCAGTCTTTTCAAACTTTTCAGAGTGATTGTACTGTGAATTGTAAATTGTTTCTCAATATCTTTAAAAGCTGTATGAATTCCTTTGTCAACAAGGGTTGAATAGGCTATTTTGTTTCTAGGGGTCACTAGAAGTGATCTCCAAATAACTGATCTAAATTTTTCAGGATACTCCCCATATTGCATTAGTATTCTTCTCAGTCTCACACTATCCATGCATGTGCGCATCCTTTTTTCAACTTCTAATTTTGTATGTAGATCATTTTTAGATTGAATCTTATAAGGAGGATTTATATGAGCTGGTGTAGTTACATTAACTTTATCTTTTGAAACTTTAGCCAGGTCCAAAACACATGATGTGTTATAAACATTTACTTCACCTAACTGTAAAATGCATAGAAAATATTTTCCACTGGGACTAACAATAAAATTTCTAATTCCAGATGATTCACAGCGAATGTTATGTATAACTTTCAATGTCTCTACATTGATCATATAAAGTATGCAATCACTGCTTAAGACACCCAGTATTTTATTAGATCCACCATCAAATACTTGCGGTATGAATGAAACAAGTTGTACTCCAGATATATTGTACTTTGTTAAATCAATAGACACAAGAGCTTTCCATGTATCCATGCTGAACAAAATTAAGGTTGGAGAGAGCCCTGCCATTGCCATTGCTCTACCGTTCATAGTAAACGCTATACTTTTCATATGTTTTAATTCACTTGGTATAATTTGTTTTAAAGATTTCATAGTTTCATGTCTCCATATTTGAACAGTATCATTTTGAAAACAGGATACCAAATAATCACCAGCTGGTGTAAACATAATTTGTTGAATTTGGGCACCAGAATAAGTATTCAATGTAAAATATTTGGTATAATTAGTAAGTTCCCATAAAATAGCTTCAGCAGCACTTGCTGTTAGAAGATTATTCATTTTACTATTTGAATAGGAAATATGTTTTACAGGAGCACTGTGTCCAGACAATGTGAAGGATATTGAACCGCTTTCTATATCCATAAAATGGATATCGTAATTTTTGTTGGCAACTATTAAAGTATCTAGCTTATTGGGATAAAAGTGTAGTGCCGTGCACGGTCCTTGACTTGCTAACTTCCAAAACTTCAGATCAGCAAAATCTAATATAAATATATTTCCTACATTATCCGCACATGCTAATTTTTCGTGAATATCATCGAATGAAGCTGAAGAAAATCTAATACGACGACCGCGGACAGTGTGGTGCAGCTGTAATATAACACCATATTTTGGCTTTGACTTAATTTTTAAATCGTACTTTTCTATAGTTTCGTTTGCGTCATGATTTTGGTCCATTTCCTATTGGAATCAATATTAAAATAGAATTTAAAATAAGTATTGTTAATATATTTTAAATTTGGCGGAAGCGGATTCAATACAAATTACAAACATCAAAATTCAAAGCAAACATAAACACTGTGATTTAAATTTTACCACAGAGACACATCTTCTGGTGTATTGTTGTTTATTATCCCTAATCTTGAATCAATTTGTAAAAGTCAAATATATAAAATTCTCGTGTCACAATGTTCGTTCCTATACTCCTCCGAAACGGCTCGACCGATTCTTATGAAATTTTTTATGCATATTCAGTAAGTCTGAGAATAGACTACTATTTATCTTTCAAAGCCCTAAGTGATAAGGGGTGTCCACCCCAAAATTTATTTTTTGGATATTTTTTTTTATTTTTTATTATGTACCTAGAATTAAAAAATACATACAACCCTAAATTTCCACCCCCTACGAAAACCCTTATTTTTTAATTTGTAGATAAAATATATGGTACTAAGTGCAAACCTCGTCTGGATTATTTATTCCTTGAACTCTGAGGATATAAATTGAAAAAAAAAATTAAAAAGTTAGTTTTATTTTGTACTTAGCGTCTTATTCCGGAAAAGTGAACAGTCTCTATGGGGCATAGAAAAACGTTCCATATCTTGGTATGTGGCTAATAAAAGGTGGGCTAAGTAAAAAAACATGGCGAAACGAATTTCGCGAGGGCAGCTAGTTAGTATATAAATGTGTGATTATAAAATTAAACTGGCATAGAGACCGCGCTAAAGTAGCAAATTCAGGAGATAAAACAATGTTTGTATTTGTAGTATTTTATTTAAAGGTTAGCAGACGTTTTCTTACAGGCTAGTATGATCCTCTGGCAACATTTTTTATCATTAAAAATAAAATAGGAGTTGTTAATTACTTTATTTTAAATACAAGAATTGTCCCGTGGGTATTAGCAAGATAAAACAAAAATATCAAGTGAAATAAAAAAGATTAGATAATCCATTGGTATAAAACTTACAGCCATTGTGCACTTTACTATGATGTTTTCCTTAGTTAAGGCCATAGGGCATAATTATATATAATTCTCGTTTCGTTTCGTATAAATGTTTTGCTCTACTAATAGCTATTAATTTGAGACATTCTAGTAAACTTCTGAAACAAAAAATTTATTAGGTTTCAGTGAAATCAAGTACATAATTTGGTTTAAACTTGTTTTTAATTAATCCGGAAACATAAATTATTAAATAACAGAGATTTCAGATTAACCTACAAACTCTCTGTTGCGACAGTGATTAATGATTATGCCGCTATGCCTATGTGTGACGTAGGCGGTGGAAGCCACTTACAGCACGAGCGTTTTGAGTTTTGACTAGTTTCTTCCCCTCTTTAACTCGGAACAGTTGGCCTACTCAACTGGCTTCAGCGTGGAACCAACCATCCTTGAGGTAGATATTCGAACCCAGGCTGTGCACTAATGGGCTTTCTGTCTGTACGCATTTAATGAATACTCGTTGGTACGCTGAAAAAGTCGACGGCGCTTGTTAAGCCTGCATCGCCTATTAGAAAAACGAATTGATCACGAAATAGATAAAGAAATCTGAGGCCAAGGTACAGAAAATAGTTAAATCACTACTTATTTCTTGTTGATCTGTTGTAATAAATTAGGAAAACAATTGAGACGTAGAATAGTGTCTGTAAAGTTCATTGAAATTTTAAGGTTAATTTTAGTCTGTCCTAATATATACAGTGTATGTACATATGATCAAAACCCAAAACAAACGTCTAAACATAATTTTTGTAAACATGTTCTAATCTGTGCTTTAAAGTGACAGAAAGTGTTAGTTTTGGTTGTAAAAACTAAAAAGCTAATTTAAAATAAACGCCGGCTAAGAATTAACAACATACAACGGGAGATCATTTTAATTACTTATATTGATTAGTCAATTACAATTAGACTAAAATATATTTAACTAAAGGACCTACTATGGCTGGTAAGTATTTATTGTAAGGTAACCTTGTTTCTTGATTGCTCAAGCAAATAAGCCTAGTTGTTAATTAATGTGACTTTCAGATAATATTGATACCCCGGTGGCGAATAACGATGCAAATGCTGTACCTAACGGCAATGATGGAAGTGAAAACAATAGTGGTGATAAATCTCCACCTCCACCCGTAACGCCACCCCCACCTGAAGTTGAGACACAGGAAATCATTGTTATTAATGAAAATACCGAGGAACTTGATCTTAATCATGGTAAAATCGGTAAAATTGAAAATCTGGAACCTTTGAAGCATTTAGAAAGGTATCAACTTTAATTAGATAAACATATTATTGAAATATCATTAAGAATTACGTCATTATTCTTGTGTATTCAGTAATCTTGGTACATTTTTCTGAGACATGTATATCTCTCTCTTTATACTAACAAGATTCCAATTAGTTTTTTTTGTAAGTAAAGGATCCATTTTGTTTTATTTGCATTCCATGTTTACAGACTATATCTTCGTTGGAATTTGATAAAGAAGATTGAGGGCTTAGACACGCTAAACGCACTGGTTGAGCTGGAGTTATATGACAACCAGATAACAGTAATTGAGAATTTGGATAATCTTGTAAATCTAGAGTAAGTGTAGTTTCAAGTAAATTCTCTGACCTGCTATTAAGATCTTAGCCAAAATATACATGCCTTAAATAAGAAGCTGAGAAAATGGAGGACCTTTAATGACTAAATAATTTATTTTACCTTGTAATATTTTTATTTAAGTTGTTACAGTACCTTTTAACCTCTTTAATGAAAATAGTGTCAAAACTTTAAATTAAATTGAGGAAAAATCTTCTCAAAAACCTTAACCTTAAAATTTCAGAATTCTGGATTTATCATTCAATAGAATCCATGAAATATCTGGGCTCGATAAACTTCTAAATTTAAAGAAGCTTTTTCTAAGTTCAAACAAGATCACAGAAATAAAAAATGTTAACCACCTCACGAAATTGGAACTGCTTGAACTTGGAGATAATAGAATACGGGTAAAAATAAATATTTATTTAAATATTATGATTTAATTTAGTGATGCTTCTTGGATGATCCTGTTTTAATTAAACAGTCAATATTGTATGTGAGATTTTAGTTTTAAGGATTTTACCAATATTTAATTTCAATTTTGTATGCAATTACATAATAACATTAATTAACACGTAATGGTATGGTAATGGTATAAATATAAAATCAGTTTTTTTTTATATCTTTCAATTTGTGTAAGCTCAGCCTTAATGACATATTGCAACATTTTTATTAATAATTAAGGTATGAGTAATAACTCATGATCAGCAATACAAGTCCTTCAGACAGGTATGACAAAAAAATGCATAAGTTAGCCAAAATAACAGCAACACTAGAATAATGTATTATATTATGTTGACTAAAGTTATAGTAACTGTAAGATATAAATAATTATTGATATAAATAATGTGGCAGTCGCTGAAACAAAACATTCATATATTATTGTAAATGTTGTTTTCTTACAGGAAATCAAAAACCTAGATGGGTTACGGACACTCAAACAACTGTATCTAGGAAAAAACAAAATAAATAAAATTCAAAATCTCGAAGATCTGTCAAATTTAGAAATACTTGTTTTACAAAGCAACAGGATAGTAAAAATCGAGAATTTAGAAAATCTAACAAAATTAGATCAACTTTACATCTCCGAGAATGGTATTACCACTATTGAGAATTTGGATTACCAAGTGAAGTTAGAAACATTAGATTTGTCAACTAATAAAATTACAGTCATTGATAATGTTCGGCATATGGTTGATTTGGAAGAACTCTGGGTAAGGTTAAATTAATAATATGTTAACCAACAATTTAAACCTTTGGTCACATAACTAGTTTTTCAATTGATTGATTTCAAACAGTAATGAGGTTTTCTAGACAGCTTTACGCATAACTTATTACCATAAACATATTTTACCTAAATTGCATAGATAATAATATCTCAAATCAAAGCATATACCATTATGTTCGATACGGTGCATGGACTTTTTGTGTTGCTATTTACAGAAAACTAAATGTTCAAACCATAAGGAAATATTACAAATATGATTAGTATTAAAAAAACCTAGTCCCACAACATTTTTGTATCTGTTTGTGATCATTTGATTTTTCTAATAGGCAAGTTAGAGAACAGCCTTCTTGCCTGACACACACTGTCGACTTTTGGGTCTAAGGCATGCTGGTTTCCTCACTAACCGCACGCCACTTGCCAACATTTTACATTATCTATAAACATTTTCAGTTAAACGACAACCAAGTATCAGAATGGTCATCAATAGAATACCTTCAAGAGAACAAGAAACTTGCTACCATTTATTTAGAACGGAACCCTTTGGCCTCGGACCCAGCTTACAGGCGCAAACTAAAGCTAATCCTGCCATCGCTGCAGCAAATTGATGCGACTCTGTGTAAATAAATGTTATTGAATCGTGAGCTGGCGAATGGAATAAAAATATATTTATTTGATCTTTCATCTCTGTTATATGTTATTTTTCTCTTTCGTGTTGCTTCGAATATTGAGAGAGATGTATGAAAACAGGATTGTTAGATAACATCATAATTCTTGAAACATGGTGATTGGTGTATGTTTATATAGTCAATTACTGGTTTTTCGTATGATGCAATTATATTGCGAAATCATGAAAACTCTGCACCAAAATTACGGTATAAAAATGCAGCTAAATAACTCTTATTTGTTCAATTGTTCTTACTACTCCAAAATACGCGGGAAAAGTCTATTTTTCGTAATATAATTTTCAGTGTGTACATATAACAAAAATCACACATATTTACCGCATTTATTTTTTAATAAGGCTAATCTTTGATACTTTGATGAATTCCGCAAATAAAACTAGTTAACTATATATATATTCCACGACACTAATCAGCAAAATATCATAAAGATCTTATGTATGTAATAAATATAATTGGTTATTTCCGTTCGCCAGCTTAGTTTCGTTGTCAGATCGCACGATTTAACTACTCATTGCTAATTTCCATTTCTAAGTAATTCGTAGATTACGTCATTGACCAGTTTTCATAATGTTGTGTAATAATTGTATGTCATGTTAGCTTTAGGCATTAGATTCTATGTGTAAATATTTAAGAAATTTCAATATAGCTCCTTTAGTTTTTTTTAATCCGACGCAAGACCAGTGTTAATTTTATTAATTGTTAAAAACATTACACAAATATTTTCAATTAAACATGAGATACTAATAATGTTGAAATTTCTTAAAAAAAATATTTTTGTAATATTCATGATCACTTTGTTTAAATTTAAAATTAAATGTATTATTATTTTAGTTAAGTTGCTAGTAGTAGTTAGTTACCTGTGTTAAACACGACATATTACTGTGCCTTTGCTAAAAACATCTTTTTTTAAACGGCAGCTATTTTAATGCTTGGTGCATACTTTTATGAAGACCTTTATAAGTATTATACCGCTACTGTCATTAAATAACATAGCTATACATAATACAATAATACAATTCAATCCGTCCCCTGCGCCTTGTGAATGTCTTACATTATCTTTTTACTATCTCTGGAATTACTGAAACAAGTTTGAGAATTCTCTCCTTAAGTAAAAAGCTACATTAATCCTGATATTTCGTAATAATCTGTTTATGGATGTTTCATGTTAACAAAAATACTTTGAGAAATAAAAATAAGTTTATCCATAGACTATAGAGAAATGATTTTCAGGCAGTCTCGGAATCTCATTCGAGCCTTGTGACCAAGCAACGCCCTCTGTTGGGCGTACTGAATAAGGTTAATTTTGAATTGTAAATAATACTTTATATTTATAATAAACAATAAACTATGTTTGTTTTAAATTTTCATTACTTCCCTTATATTTATAAAAATATTCACAAATAATAACTGTCTAAACTTTTCTCTAATTTCCAAATAGTTTTCGTATAACTTTCCGTGGAAGACCTCACATATGATTCATCTATAATTTACGAAAATATGCTGTGATATTACGAAATCCCAAAATAATTTATAACAATTCTAATAGTTATACTTATAACTAGTATAATGGGTTTCAATGTGGAATTTGAAGGAGATTTTAAACTTAATCAAGGCTTCAAGTAAACATTTTACGCATGAATTCAGTAACCGCTTGTTCTGTACTATAAAATTATCTTATATGTAAAATTCTCGTGTCGATGTTAGTTACCATACTTCTCCGAAACGGCTTGACCGATTTTCATCAAATTTTATATGCATATTCAGTAGGTCTGAGAATCGGCTACTATCTATCTTTCAAGATATTAGATTAGATTTCACCCCCTAAGTGATAAGGGATGTCCACCCCAAAAAAAAATATTTTAATTTTTAGATTTTTTTATGATACAGCATACAAAAATACATATAACCCCTAATTTTCGACCCTCTACGATCAACCCCTATTTTTTATTATTGTTGATAGCTATTTTTATTGAACTAAAAAAAATTTACTAGAAATATTATACATGGCAAAACAACGATTGCTGGGTCAGCTAGGTAGTATTTAATATACTCAAGGAGCAACAGAGATAGCATAATGTAAAGTAAGACTTTTAAGTAGGTACCTATATTAACAAAGGATCAGCTTTGCTGTAGCATGGAGAATTGTTGAAATCATTTTAAATTAAAAATCTGTTGGTTCTTAAGAAAATCAATAAAAAAAACCACTAATATTTAAAAAACATTGTAAGATTTTCTTTGCTTGAATTGGTTTAGGAGGGATGTTTCTAATGTTCTTACAACGTTCCTATATAGTAGAATGTCTTGAAGAACAAACGGAACGGTAGTAGTACTTCCTCTCAGTGTAAATTACTGTAAAGGTACGCATAGTTTTCGTCCATTTTGTTTTCCAGACAATTTTGTGCAGTCCAAACGAATTACTTATCAACCTTCTTATTTTTGGCCCATTAAAATGACGGCTTTAAGATTCTATGCCCTCAAATTAAAGAAAAGAAAAAAATAGGTTAAATTTGAATTCAGCGACCTCAAATTAGTAAGTTACAGGCATAAATAGGTTAAGAAAAAGTTTAAGTTTTTTCCCTAGTGAAATTTATTATTTGCACCTATAGCAATTACTTTAAACCAAGCAGTGTTTTGTTTCTTGTAAAAAATCTCAGGCGCAAATAATCGAATGTCCTTGGGACTGAGAAATGTCAAACCTAACCTCACAGCAATAAAACTCAACCGGCAGTAAACAAGTTTGTTAAGCTTATTTACATAGACTTGTTTTAGATTAAAAAACGTGATTTTAGTTGTGTACCGCCAACCATACAGACGTTATGAAGTCGTTCATAGAATATTCGTCGGACACCGACTTTCCAATTGAAAATTTACCTTATGGTGTATTTACTTCGCCTTCAAATGTAAGTATTCTATATTCTTAGTTTCCTACACATTGCATATGTTTAAAATTAAAAATTAACTTAAATATACATAAAGTAAAATCAGCAATGTGACCTTTTTTATCAATATTCGTCAAATATTTTTTTAGCTTCGCAATTTAATATAAAATCTATCTATCTATAAATAATAAACTTTTTGGTTATTTTTTTTTACTTTTGATAAACTATAATCTGTGTTAAAATTATATTGACGCGGGAATTTTGAAACTGAACTAGAGTCATCGTAGAATATGCCCTATACAATAATAATAAATGTACTTTATTATCATAGGAACAAAAACACATAGGAGTGGCTATCGGCGAATGGATATTAGATTTGAATGTCATATCGCATTTATTTAACGGCGATCTCTTGAGAGACCAACAACATGTTTTCAAAGTAAGTATGGAATGGACTGGTTATGTTAATTAAACGAATATAATTAACTTTAGATTTTGCATAACCTTCCGATAAATTCTTCATGCCCTTTATTATGTTTATAATGAAAGACTGTATTGTTAATGATCATACATTTTGATTTCCCTTTCGTATTGTTGACAGAAAAATAATTATGCGTTTATCTCAAAGCAGTTATCTGTAGCAACTAGTATTTATTTGTCTCGTCGCAAAGGAAAATGAATTAGCTTTATTCAAAAGTTTACTTAGTTTTGGAAATATAATATATGAATATTCTCAATTGAAGCAAAAGTTAGCTAGCTTTTATCTGATTATAGGACGAAAAATTAAACTCGTTTATGGGATTAAAAAAAGCTTACTGGAGTGAAGCAAGAGCAACAATACAAAATCTATTGGATGTAAATAATCAAACTTTACAAAATGATTCACAATTACGAGAAAGGTAAGAATAAATAAATGGATCTTATTTTATTATTCATTAATGAATATTTTTATTTTGTATGTTTTCCTACAGGGCATTTGTCAAGCAGAGCGAAGCCAAAATGCATTTACCAGCTGACATCGGTGATTACACAGATTTCTATTCTTCTATACATCATGCTACCAACGTTGGTATTATGTTCAGGAGCAAAGAAAACGCGCTCATGCCTAACTGGTGAGCTTATAAACCTTTCTATTTATCTATGGAATCTAATCATTTATATTCAGAAATTTCATTTAAAATGGGTCATTTTACATTAATATACTGAACACCCATATATAACACGTTCACGTTACTCACATCAACACCAACTATGCAAAAAACTTGTTTTCTATCGCGCAGCCCGGACATACAACGACCAATATTTAAGCCTTGACTTGTTTAAGCTATCGCGGAATATGCTTAAAAGGAGTATTAAGAATATCCATAGCGCAAAATCACCTGCATCGTGAGCATACCCCACATATAATATTACGAGAAAAAGTCAGAACGTGAACCCTCACGTACATACCCTCACTTTTACTCCATCACACAAACAGACAAATTAGGTATTACTTAATTTTAATGTATTTAGTCATTTTTAATATTATCTATTCAATGTTTGGCTATATCTTTAGTATAATTGTTTTGTATTCAATATAATTTGTTAGCCATAGGATTACGAAATAAATAATAAAATATTATTGATGGCTGGCATTGCCCTATGAACATTGCTTCAGATCCTTAATCAATAAGAGATTCAAGAACTCATCTGTCTCTTTTTATCACGGCGTAAATAAAATTATTAAGAATAAGTGGGAAAATGTTTCACGAATATTATTTTCAGGAAGTATATACCAGTCGGCTACCACGGCCGATCTAGCTCCATTATTGTATCCGGAACACCGATTAGGAGACCATATGGACAAACCTTGCCAGTTGAAGGTACTTAATATCAACTTTCATTATTATTTTTGGAGATATCTTCGTGGCTTTAACTTGCAAAATATTAAGTACGATTGTTTAATTACGCTTTCGATTAAATGGTATACTTGTGGTTGTCCTCATTTTCGATATTTCACTAGAACTATTGTTCAAAATAAATTAACTAGAGTGCTAAGAAGCTTGGTGTGCTCAGCAAGGCG